CTTAAACTTTTCCAGTCCTGGTGTCCTCGTCTCTAAAATTGGAATAATAATTATTGGGAGGATTAGATAACAGCCAAGCAAAGTGCCTGGCACTTAATAAAGATTCATAAAATGGGCATTGTTTTTTCTGTAAATTTGGCACTGCACAGGCCACAGGGTGTATTTGTTTCCGGTGGCTGCTGTAACATGTCACCACAGACTCGGTGGCTTAAAACAGTAGGCATTCGTTCTCTCATGCCAGAAGTCCGGGTTCCGTTTCACTAGGCTGAAATCAAGGTGTCACCAGGCCTTTCCCCCTCTGGAGGCTCTAGGGGAGAACCCTGCCTTGCCTCTCTTCCAGCTTCTGGTGGCTGCTGGCATTCCTTGACTTGGGGCGGTATCACCCCAATCTCTGCCTCCATGGTCACATTATCTTCTCACCTGTGTGTGTCACATCTCCTCTCTGCCTTCCTTTTATAAGGGTACGTGTGATTGCAGCTAGGGCCCACTTTGATAACCTAGGGTAATCTCCCCAAAGGAAGATTCTTAATTAAATCCCATCTGCAGACTCTGTTTCCATACAAGGGGATATTGCCAGGCTCTAGGATTAGGATCTGGTATCTGTGGGGGCTATTTTTCAGCCACCATCCACGGTGACACCATTCCCGGCCTGTCTTTATAAGGTCTGGTCTGAAACATTTCACCTCTGAACCACTAGAATCCTTCCAGTTTGTCATTCAAAACCATCTGCCTTATTTTTAAAGTAAATTATTACTATTTTTAATCTCCACCATATGATATGTTTATTGATTTTAGGAAGAGGGAAAGGGAGAGAGTTATTTACAGTTGTGGAACAGTTGTAGCAGATGTGTATACAGGACACGGCCATCGGAGCTGAGGGGACGCCCAGACTGACCTGAGAGTGCAGCACAGGAAACCATCTACAGTGAGAGAAAAACATCAATGTGAGAGAGAAACATGGATTGGTTGCCTCTGCTCAGGATCTAATCCTAGGTCCACAACCTAGGTATGTGCCTTGATTGGGAACCCGCCACCTTTTTTTTTTTTTAAAAAAATATATTTCTTTATTGATTTCAGAGAGAAGGGGAGAGAGAAAGAAACATCAATGATGAGAATCATTGATTGGCTGCCTCCAGCAGGTCCCCTACGGGGGATTGAACCTGCAACCCAGGCATGTGCCGTTGGCCAGAATCAAACCTGGGACTCTTCAGTCCGCAGGCCAACGCTCTATCCATTGGGCCAAACCAGCTAGGGCGGGAACCCACCACCTTTTGATGTTCAAGACATTCCAACCAACTGAGCCACACCTCCAGGGCCCATCTGTATTGTTTTCTGAGAACTTTCCTCCCTCTTCCAGAAGGGGCAGTGGCTCCCAAAGTTGGGTGTCTCTTTAAGCTTTTAACTTAAAGCGGTTCTCAACCCGTGGGTCGCAAACAGTGAAAATACATCCTGCATATCAGATATTTACATTACGATTCATAACAATAGCAAAATTACAGTAATTAAGTAGCAACGAAAATAATTTTATGTGGGGGTCACCACAACATGAGGAACTGTATTAAAGGGTCGCCGCATTAGGAAGGTTGAGAACCACCGAAAGGTCTCAGTACTGAACCGCACTGCCATTTTGCAAGGCTTTAATTAATTCAAGAATGCTCTCTAGCTCTGTTTCTCAAACTTACATATTCCAGGCCCCTCTGATTCAGTAGGTGTGAGGTCTGGGAATCCAAAATTTTCCAATGCCCCAGGGAAATCTTATCATCAGCTAAGATTTAGAAACATTCAGTCCTACAAAGTCCTGAACCAAAATGTTTGAAATAGGAAATTCTCCTTCCCGCCTGCTGGGTGTGTCATGGTTACATGACTGAGTTTTTAGTAAAAGAAAGAAAGAAAGAAAAACCAACAACACAGAACAGAAAACTGAACAATCCTCTTTGGACTGTACTCACTGAGAGTTCCCTAACGGGAAAGCTTCCAATTCCGAATTAAACAGGGAATGACGATGGTCCGGATTTGGCAATTCTGCTGCTGTCACTTGCTCGGAACCTCGTGGGTCTGACATCCAGCCCGGGCCGCGCCCAAGGCTTTTCCTCCGTGACAGCAGCTCCAGCGAGGGGCGTGGTGGTGGTGGCTGGGCTACCCCAGTCCGGGTGGGGGCGGCCATACAGGGGCACTCAGACACTGGGGTGGGCCGGGGAGTGGCTTTCAGCGCCACCCCTGCGAGCGGCAGCCATTCCAGAGAGGCGCGGGCAGGGGGCGTGGGGAGCCGGAGGTGTATTTATTCTGCCTTTAGGACGGGGAGCTGGGGCCATTCAGAGCTGCCAGAAGGCTGTCCTGACCCGAGAGCTGGCTGGGTCTTCGGAAAAGGACTAAGAACCCAGCGTCGGTCATTGGCCAGGTGGGGGCGGCAGTGGTGCGGTGGCAGGACGAACAGAACATTTGCGGGGATTGTGGGAGTCCCTTTGGGGATGATGGGGCGCAGAGTTCGGTTCAGCCGGGAGCGGTGAAGGTGCGGTGTCCAGCTCAGCCATGGGGTGATGGGGACGCAGAGCCAGGCGCGGCTGCAGGTGATGGGGTGCAGAGCCAGGCGCGGCTGCAGGTGATGGGGTGCAGAGCCAGGCGCGGCTGCAGGTGATGGGGTGCAGAGCCAGGCTCAGCCGAGAGGTGAAGGGGGCGTAGGGTCAGATTCAGCCCGGCGGGTGCGCGCGGCGCGGCCGGGTAGGAGCTCGCAGCTGCAGCCGGGGCGCGGGTTGGGGAGCCTTCCCCGGCGGCCGTGCCCGGGGGAGCGGTTCGCGGCGCCGCAGAGACGGGCTCCAAGTGCCCGCGTCCCCGGCTCGCGCGGAGCCGGTGTGGCGGGAGGAGCCCTGCGCAGCCACCGCCTCCTCCGGCCGCAGGCTCCTCCTCTCCCCCCACCTCCCTCGTCTCGCTGCCCGCCCGCCCGCCCGCCCGCCCAATCCGCAGCCCTGGGCCCTGGAGAGCCGGGTCGCTTGTCTGGCCGGCGGAGGCAGAGCGCGACCCTAGCGAGCCGCGGCGCCCGCCGACCAGGGACAAGCGCGACTCCCGGGAACCCGCTCTGCCCCCGGCGGCCGCCTCCTCTCCATTGTCGCGGGGACGCTCCGGCCCGCGCCGCCCCGGCCGCGATTCTCCTCCTCTTCCTCCCGGAAAGTCGAGCGCCTGCTCCGGGAGAGAGCGAGCCGAGGCCCCCTGCCCGCGGCTCGGGGCTGGAGGCGGCGGCGGCGGCGGCGGCGGCGGGAGTGCGCGTCACTCCCGGGAGGAGAGTTGCACCTCCGCCGAGGCCGTGGCTGCCAGTTGCCCAAACGCGGCGGCGGCGGCGGCGGAAGGCGCTGGGGCTCGGGGGCTCCCTGGCCATGGAGAGGAGAGCCGGACCCGGGGACGCCCAGAACTCGGCCCCGTCTCTTTGGATCTCCGTGTAGGCACCTGAATTAGCCGACGCTAAGCGGGGGAGGGAAAGGTAAGAGGAGAGGGGGTCCCCCGCCCCGCCTCCCTTGCTGCCCCCGGGGGGCCACTGTGAGAGCGCGGACTGCGGTCCCCGCACCTTCCCTGCTCCCGGCGGTTTGGCATGTGGGCATTTCTGCTGAGATGGAAAACACCCCCCTCCCCCTTCCCCCAGCACCCTTTCCTCACTGTCCCCGCGCGCCTCCTTTCCGCCTCTATGGATGGGGAGGAACAAGATACCCCGGAGTAAATCCTCCCCGTAAGAAAGGGTCTTTGGGAACCTTTGGTCTGTGATTTCGTTCGCTGCCTCTCTCTTTTCATTACGTCTCACGGGGAAGGAAACAATGGACCTTTGAAAGTCTGCGTGAACAGCCTCAAACTTTCTGGAGAGGTCTGGGCCGGGGGAATAAACCCCACAGGAAACCCCACAGTGAAAGGTGGATGGAATGCGTGTTGCAGAGTCTCGGCTTCAGGGCGCGCGCGTCTGCCTTTGGGGTGATCTTTGTCTCTTTACTATTCCCCGCGGTTGGTGGGCCCCCGCCCCCACCTCGATTTCTGGTAGTGAAAGTAAGGCGCGGTTTTAAAATCCGTGCAGCTCAGCGCAGGACTCCAATCCTGGCTTTCGAACGGCAAGTTGTGAGGTCTTGGCAAATGAGGGGGAATCGTGAGGACCCCAAAATGCTGCAGTTAATGCTGGTTGCTGCATCCCTTGCAGTACAGCGTAGGGCCCCGACATCCCTGGATGCTCTCTGCTGGGGGTTGAAGCGTGTCACTAGACCTCGCTGTGGAGCAGAAACCCTTCACTTAAATTCTCCACGTGAGGTTAGGAAAACAGACTTTGCTGTATGTCTCTTTCATGAGCAGTAGGGTTTAAGAAATAGAATGCCTAAAACTTGAAGAACTTTCATTCCGAATAGGAGCCACTCACCGGCCCGTGTTCACTCTCCTTGCTTCATTGTGACAATGCATTTTGATCATTGCACGTGCTGAGCTTGTGGGGACGTTGTCTTCCTGAGCTTTTCCCAGAGAACAAAGTGAAGAGAGTGTGAGGAAGGGATAGAGAGGAAGGTTTCACCTGAGCTGAGGGAGGCCTGAATCCTTAGGGCAGCCAGGCATGCCTGTTGGAAATGGCTGTGTTAGAAACACACACATTTAAGATACTGAGCCCTAAGGTTCTTTGGTTGGCTAGAAAGGAGCTGTTACTGTTTGCTTGACCCTTGAAGGGAGCTTGCACTTTTCCAAGTTCTGGGCATCGCACTCCGGTTGGGTGCCTTTGATTGGCTGTTCAAAGGGCTCTTTCGAGTTTGCATTTCTGGGCAAACTGAAGAAAGTGCAGCACTTCCTCTGCTTGGCAAACATTGGGTAGCACCTTTTGGGGCTTGATGTGAAAATCAGTCCCCTCTGCTTTCTGTGAATCTGCACAAAAGGATAGGTCAGAGTGTGTGGGAGTGGAACCAGGAAGTCTATCTTATGGCTTGTTAGTAAGCCCCCCCCCCCACCCAATTTTTTTTATCTGATGTATGTGTGTTTATAGCCTCAGAAAATTGAGGTGAGAAGTGAATTCTGAGTCATCACCTGCTCTACTGGAACAGCCTGTGCCTGAGCAGCAAGCTGAGGGGTCACTGTGTGTGTGGACAGGAAGTGGAATCAGTGACTTCTTACATGATTTCCTTTGTGACAACTGATGGAGTGACTCTCCCTTCTTGATCTAGCCTGTAACCCACAGATTTTCAGGAGTTTCAGGTTTCACAACTGGAAACCAGAATGGGACAACACCTCTTTCTTGTTGCAACTGACCAAGTCCAGCCTGTTCTCTAACAGCTGCTTTGGAAATAGAAGACAGAAGGAAGGGGGTAAAGTAATTGTGGGCCAGGCTGAAATGAAAAGGCTGTTACTTACTAGCTGTGTACCTCTGGGCAAGTTTCTGAAATTGAGAATGATGATGTGATGAACCACACTAAAGAGGATTTTTAAATGATCACTATGAAATTCACAGTGTAAGACTCACCTGGGATGCTGTATGTAAATGTGTACCTTGTAAAGTGCCGTGACATAGAATAGTGCATCATCCACCCTCTCACCCACCATCCATTTAACTAACAATTATTCATCACCTATTGTGTGTCAGGCCCTGTGGAAGCAAACTGAATGCCCACCAGCTCTGTGGAGTGTTCTTGTTGTTTGGGAGGGGGCGTTAGATGGAGTGGTTGAAGCGTGGGAGGTCACAGGGAGCGACCATAGTGGCTTATCTACAAAGGAAGATAAGACAGTCTCTGCTGTTGAAGAAATGAGTCTAGCCAAGGAGAAAAGGAAATGAACAATGAGAAGGCCCAGTAAGCGTGTGTTTATGCACAGGATGCTGTAAGAACCCAAAGGAGGGCCAGAGGTTTTTGGGGGGAGGGCATAGCAAGTTAGTGAGATATAACATGTCCTAAATCAGACAAAATAGTAGAGACTGAAAACTCTATCAAAAGTACCATTTTGAAATGTAAAGATTGGAGGACTTAAAACCAGAACTGAGTTTAAAACAAGGCTCTGACAATTGCTAACCCTTTGCTATTGGGCAAATCCCCTAATTCTTCACACTTTGCTTCTTCATCTGTAAAATGAGTTTAAAATACTCGGTGGAATTCTTCGAGGTTTAACTTAGATTTAATATGCTGTGTATGCAAGCTAGTGTCTTTTGGTATTAAAAGGTACTTTCAATATATGTTCTTTTTTAAGCTATACGTATAAAAAGTTGTAATTTAGTCTAATGGATCTCAGTCACTGATTTCTGTTTTGTTCTGAATAGTGCAATTCTTCAGACTTGAGGTTAGCTATTGTTCCATGGCATTTCTCACTTGTTCAGGCATCCCAGACACTGGAGATCTTTTCATGGCGTTTGGGTTGTGAGCACTAATTGGAAGGATGGGCTGTCTAGCATAGTACATCGATTGAGAGGGTCTTGTCTGGGTCTGTTCTGTCTTCACCCCGCCTCTCAAAGCAAGCTAGCCCTTCTGCTTTCCTCTATCCTAAGTAAATGAATAAAAGGAAGAGAAAGCTATGCATTTGCATGGTTGAGACCATAAAAATCACCCCTACCAGCTGGGTAGTAGACTTACCGGGGTGATCACTTCATAAGGTATGTAAATATCTACTCGCTGTGTTGTACACCTGAAATCAATATGATATTGCATGTCAACTGTAATTGAAACATAAGTTTTAAAAATCACCCTAGTTTTCTCTATTTGTAAAGAGATATAATTTTCAACTACACAGTTAAAGAAAGGCTGTTCTCAGCAGCAGCTGCTGTCGGTGAAACTTGAATATTTCAGCACTACTTGCGTTAGTATACTTGCCTTGATTCTTGCCTTGACGTGAACTGAAGCTCATCTGACATTTTAATAAATGGCCAGTGAGAGAAACCCATGCTCAGACATTTAAAACTGTCATGTGAAATGTGACTTTTTTGGGGGGTGTGGGGAGGGCAGTATGAATGTAAATCAGTTTTCAGATCAGTGCTACACATGCTGAATCTTAGCATGTAGTTTTAAAGGGCCCTAAAAGTCCTACTAAAACGAGGAAGTTGAGACCCAGAGAGGCTCACTAATTAGGTAAGGTCACATAGTAAATTAGTGGCTGAGCAGGGACAAGAACCCCTTTGTCCCTATTTCTAGTCAGCACCCCCTCCCCTCCCCCCCCAGTATACTCTAACTTGTTACTGTTAGGTTTTGTTAGCAGTTTAGTGATTTTAATGGTGAAATAATTTGCATTTGAGCTTAGAAACCCATTGCACCCAAGTTTAAGGCAGATACTATAACTTCTTTTTCGTTTGGGAGAGTTTACAGATGATATGGTGCATGTAATGGGGTGTTGTTACTTGTAATACATTTCTGTCAAACAAGAAACTAAGCGTAAAAATAATGTTAGCTTTACTTGCATATTCTGTAAATAGTAAAGACATTTCAAATATTGTAGAAGTGCACTTTTTTTTTTTTAAAGAAACAAGTTCCCGGAAACTGTGTCTCAGTGGATCATGAACTTTTATTCAGGTTTGTGTTATGAATCATAGTGTAAAAGCATAAACAGTATGTTTGCATGTGCTTTTCTTTTTTCCTTATATTTGCTTTGGGAAGCCTTTAATGTTGGTTGTCACGAACTATATTTAGCAAATATTTTATTGCATTCCTAAGACGTGCAAGGCAGTGTACTGGTTGCTGTGAGCAATACAAAGATGAACGAGGCATAGGATCTTTATTAAAACGTCTCTTTAAAAAATGTGAAACAGTCTCGGAAGCTATGTAAAGACTTAAAACATAGAATTGCTGCCTCCCGACGAATCAGTTCTTTGATCTAATAGGCAAGTCTGCTTCGAAATTGTTATTATTAGACTAGCCTTTTAACCAGATTTTTTAACAAGGCATTTGTTTTTAAAACATAAAAACAAGTGGATAAACATTTTACATTTATTTTATTGGGGCTCTCTCTTAGTTTGGATAAGAAGTAAAAATTGGGCAACACTTGATGGAATTTTATATTATGAAAAGTTTGCCTCGGAGAGCTGTGATGGTCTTCGCTTTAATATGTTTTTAATAAATGGCTTTAATGCTGCAATTGGAACATTGTTTTCTGAAAGGGTTGCAATTTAAGACAACCCATATTGATCCACTGAGAAAAAAATTGGCCTTGTTGACTGAGTTTGATGTGTATCTTAAAACATATGAACATCCACCACAAACGAGATGTCCTGGTTATGTTCGATTACCAAGTTTCTCCAAAGAGTGAAATTGCTACTGATTTGGGGGCTCTTGCCTAATTATTGGGTTGTACTTGGAGACTATAGACTTTCTGTTGTCACAATGGACTCTACTAATAGTGACTCACTCTCCTGAAGAGTGAATAGCCAGTTTCTTTATGTTCAGTGAGGTTGGGAATGAATCATTAACCTTTTAGGGATTGTGAAGATTAAGTTTAGCACAGAAGATAAATGCCTGATTTCTGTTTCAGAAGGAATGAGAAAAATGAGTCATTGTTTGGTTTTCTTATTGTGGTTAAAAAAACACAACCACAGGACATTGTTTTTTAATACCATCAGTGCCACCACCATAAAAAATAAATTTTATGAGGATTTAAAAAATACTGCACTTCGTTAATGTAAAAGATGTGGCTTTAATTGTGTTTTTAAAAAATCCTCACCTGAGGATATTTTTTCCATTGATTTCTAGAGAGAGTGGAAGGAAAGGAGTAGGTGGGGGGAGCGAGGAAGGGAGGGGAGAGAGAGAGAGAGAGAGAGGAACCTCAACGTGAGAAAGATACATCGATTGGTTACCTCCCGCACATGCTCCAGTCGGCGCTGGGGAACCTGCAACCGAGGAATGTGCCCTTGACCAGGAATCGAACCCGTGACCCCTTGGTCTGCAGGCTGATGCTTAATCACTGAGCAAAACTGGACAGGATGCTTTAATTGCTTAATAGGTGTTTCATGATAGCCATTCCCCAGCCATCTGTGGCATGCTCACAGACAGAATCTGGTAGGAAGTTGGGTGTGTATGAAGGGCTAGCTGAAAAGGTCGAATGAGAATCGTCTTCTCAGCCTGGTTAATGACCTCTTCTGATTAATGTCATTGCTGCTTTTCCAAGTGCCTGCACTGATTTAGACACCCCTGTTCTTACCATGTGGTTGGCTTCACAATGTATGGTTAGCTGATGGGTAACTTTTTCCATCTGCCTCGTTCCCATGTCTGAGCGTGGCTTTAACCTTAAAGCACTTCTTGCTCCCTGTTTGTGCTTGTGGCATTTCAGCTCATCACGCAGCCCCTCTTCTCCTGTTCTGCTGACCATATTCTCTTCCTGTTCAGCCATGGAAAGTCCAGCCACCACTTTCGTGTGAGAATCACATGCCTTAGAAGGACAGGGACTCTGACGGACTGTTTTGTATTTTGGCCTGGAGCTCATTTGCAGGTGAGTCTGCCTGCCAGCCTTCATGAGGCTGTTGTTTTCCCCCACATTGGTCATCGCTGGACAGTCTGGTGTCATTTTAGTGGCAGGGTTCAGTGGTAGATTTCAGTTCACACGCACAAAGTAAGGAAGCTATTAGCAGCAGCAGTCTGATTATATACATTTGGGTAAGTTTGCCAGGCCTCTTAAAACTTGAAACTCTCTTCCATTCGTAGGGATTTAATAAACGCTGGTGATTACCTCTAGACTCACTAGCCCAGTGCCTTTGCCCCAACATGCATAGCAATTATTTGCTTGGGTCATCTCCTGCCCCATCAACACTGGCCTTCCAGCTCCTTGAAGGGAGAGATCATGCACATTTTTTTTGCACCATTAGGGCCTCCCCATCATCTAGCAGAGTCCTTGTCTCATAGGAGGTGCTCAAGCCTGAATGTGTTCTCCCTTTGGCAAGACTTTACCGTTGGTGGTTAATGTTATATTTAAAATAGGCGGTGTGTCGTAGATATGAGAAATAGTACCCTCGAGTTCTGATCCTGGCCCTGCCACGAATAGAAACTTTGCTTTGATCCTGGATTGAGTAGCTCTGGATCCCTTCAGTCTGCACGTCTCGTTATTCATCTGGAATATTTCTTAGTCTGGAAGGCATGTCAGAACATACTCATTAAAGTTTCCGATTGTCACTGCATTTTGATGTTTGTGTCTCAGTAGATCATGAACTTTTGGTACGTCTGTACCTAATTATCAGACACATCTCTGTCCTCCTCCCCCCCCCCCCACCCCGCCTCCTTACCTTTTAACATTCTACCAACATAACTTGTCTTGGATCTTTCTCCTTGAGAAGTATTTTAAAGCTTTGTCCCTGGCGCTTGGCAGAGAATTCAGCACTCAGGCAGCTCTGCCCTTTGCTGTGACCTTAATTAAATCAGCCTCCTTCAGGTCAGACTTGGGTTTGGGTTCTTTCTTTGGAAGACCAGCTGCAAGGCTGCTGGCTTGCCCGCGCCTGCCATTGTGTGTGCCTCTGCACAGCCATCCGTCACTGTCAGCAGTTCCTCCCCGCCAGTGGGGGGCAAGGCCCATGGGGGGATGGTCTAAGGAGCATTGGGAGGGAGAAGAGGAAACAACAGCTTTCCAAGGGAAAGAATTAGGGAGAAAAAGGAATCTGAGGAATAATCATGGGAAAAATGTAAACCAAGTGAAAAACAAAGACAGGTAGGTAACAGGACCCTTTTCTTTCTCCAATTTTTCAAGTTGACAAACAGTCTTCCTCCAGGTTTGTTTATCCTTTAATTATTTTACCCAGACACCTACATACTTTAATTTAATTTTTTTTTTTTTTGAATGGGCAAAGAATGTTAGATATTCTACATGGTCATCCTCTGTGTACATTGTCACCCTGTTGGTCTGTCGATCTGTATTTTCCCCTCCTGCTTCTCTTTTGTTGCCCATGATAATGTTCTCCTGCCTTTTTGCTCTATCAGCCATTTTGACTTTAGGATCATACTTTGCATGGATATACTTAGCAGATCTGAAAAAAAGAGACAGGATTAATGAGTTATTTGGTGGCAGAAAAATCAGACATCTGCCTCATGTACCTTGGATAAATGAGAAATAAATGAATTAAAAATATTTCTTTAAGTTCACTTAAAGTATTTAACTTTAAAAACAGGAAAGTATTTGCTTGGTTTACTTTGGGCATTAGATATTATAAATAAACACTTTGTTTTGAGGTATCCATATTTTAACAGATTTCAATATAATTTGCTGAGGATATATTTACTTTTGTGATTAACTCATTTGCTAATCTGAATTCCTTAAATACAGATCCATTAGCATTTGTTGTTTTCAACATAAGCAAACTCTTAGTGTTTTTAGTTAATTTTTGTTTTCCAGGGATTTACTGTATCTTGACAATAGTTTTCTAGCAAAGAGTACAATATAGCTTAACTGAAAAGTGAATTTCTAAGCAGGAGAAAACTAATATCTTCTGATTTTAAATAATACTTATTCCAACTCACATACTTATTCCAGCTCAAAGGCTTAATGGCCCCCGATTTTTATTTTTATTTTTTTAGTAAGTGTAGGGTTTTTAGGACTCTGTGTTTGAAATATTCCTCATGATCTCTCTCTATTACATTCTAATAGAGTTAGTATACATTCGGAAAATTTCCTTTTGAAGGAGGAGATAATGTAAGCAATACATGGTACCAAGCTAGAAGTCTGGAGTATATTGGTGTTTGTATATAATAGTAGCTTAATTTTGGGGAATATCATTTATCAAAAATGTCTAAATTCCCCAAGTGGAGAAAGAAGGCAGGGGAATGGAATTAAAAATTTCTCAGTCCCTTATCCTTTCACTTCATTGAGAGAGACTTATCGTGAAAGGTTGGTGCATTCCTCTTCTAGCTCTAAACACTGGCCTGGGTATGACCAGCTTAGTCACAGTGAGCCAGGATCAAAGTGAGTAAACTAACTGTGCGGAGTGTCTTATTTCTTGGGGACATGCCAGATAGTTAGTTGCAGGTGATAGTGACTCATCTTGATTTGTAAGAGTTGAAAGAAAAAGACAACAGGGCTAAGATAAATACGAATGCGTGGTAATAATGGAGAACGTGTCTTGTGCAACAGTGTGAAGGCACTGTCCTATCTAGAGATTTGGGACTGTGCTTACACAAAACCAAGCACATCTCCGAGTGAAAGTAAACGTAATCTCCCCCCAGCCCCCATCTGTCTATTTTCTCACAAATAGCTATAGGTTTAGACCTGCAATTTATGCTGAATTCCTGTGCAGGCAATGATTTGACTGATGTAAGCTCTTTTTAAATCTTGCCTACACTTGTTATGAGAACATATTTTTGAATGAAAATAGCCAGGCTGGTAATAATAGTCAGGATGCTGATACTCTCAAGTTTTTTTCTTCTTCTTTGATCAAGGACATTATTATTTTTTTCCCCCTTTTAAAAAAATTGAATTATTTATTGTCTAAAGTTTTAAATATATCTCCTTTTCCCCTGATTGACCCCCTCACCCCCCCCAGCTATTCCCACCCCTGGCAAGCCCCCACCTTCCCAGCGTCTGTGTCCATTGGTTATGCTAATATGCATGCATACAAGTCCTCTGGTTGCTGTCTAACTCCTCTACCCCCCCGCCATTTGTCTCTGAATCTATTCTTGTTCATCAAATTATGTTGATCATTATATCCCACATATGAGTGAGATCATGTGGTATTTATCTTTCTCTGACTGGCTTATTTCGCTTAGCATAATGTTCTCCAGTTCCATCCATGCTGTTGCAAATGGTAAAAAGTTCCTTTTTTTAATTTTTTTTTAAAATATATTTTATTGATTTTTTACAGAGAGGAAGGGAGAGAGATAGAGAGTTAGAAACATCGATGAGAGAGAAACATCGATCAGCTGCCTCCTACACATCCCCACTGGGGATGTGCCCGCAGCCCAGGTACATGCCCTTGACCGGAATCGAACCTGGGACCTTTCAGTCCGCAAGCCGATGCTCTATCCACTGAGCCAAACCGGTTTCGGCTAATTTTTTTTTTTATAGCAGTGTAGTATTCCATTGTGTAGATGTACCACAGTTTTTTAATCCACTCATCTGCTGATGGGCACTTAGGCTGTTTCCAAATCTTAGCTATGGTGAATTGTGCTGCTATGAACATAGGGGTGCATGTATCCTTTCTGATTGGTGTTTCTGGCTTCTATATTCCTAGAAGTGGGATCACTGGGTCAAATGGGAGTTCCATTTTTAGTTTTTTGAGGAAACTCCATACTGTCTTCCACAGTGGCTGCACCAGTCTGCATTCCCACCAGCAGTGCACAAGTGTTCCTTTTTCTCTACATCCTCACCAGCACTTGTTTGTTGATTTGTTGATGACAGCCATTCTGACAGGTGTGAGATGGTACCTCATTGTCGTTTTGATTTGCATCTCTAGGATGATTAGTGACTTTGAGCATGTTTTTATATGTCTCTTGGCCTTCTGTATGTCCTCTTTTGAAAAGTGTCTATTGAAGTCCTTTGCCCATTTTTTGATTGGATTGTTTATCTTCCTTTTGTTAAGTTGTATGAATTCTCTGTAAATTTTGGAGATTAAACCCTTATCTGAAATATCATTGACAAATATGTTCTCCCATGCAGTGGGCTTTCTTGTTGTTTGAGGACATAATTCTTAAAACAGTATCCAAACTGTAATTCTACAGGTTACTGTCAAAATCATTGCCTTTTCGTCAGGTGTTCAGTATGGTGGGGCCAGTGTGCATGGCACAGCACTGAGCAGTGGGGACCCTCTGTGTGTTGGGTTGGAGGAGCTGGATGATTTGGGGGACGGAGCGTATCATTGCCTACAGGGCAGATGCCCTCGCCCACTGTGTGTAAGTGCTAAGCATGCATGGAAGTGAATTTGTCTTCTATTTTAGCAGCTCAGCAGTTAGAAAGAACATGAAAACTTAGCTCTTTAAAGCACCTTTATTAGTGTTGAGTTACTGCTGCTATCTCTTATCGAGAAGACTTTCCAGACTTTCCCTTTGATGATAGCATTTATTGGATGTCAGCATCACGATAAAGTGGAATGGAACACTTTCTTCTGCCTGTGTGCCTACTGCATTTCATGGTGTTAAATTATTACAAAATATTGTGAAAGGTTGAGCTTGTCTTGATAGCTTGCTGCTCTTTATCTTTAGAAATCCTATCTGGGGTTGTTAATACCTTTTACCCACTAGATTGTAAACTAGGATTGGATTTTGTAAAAATTAATCTGTTGACTTTTTGCTTGAAGTAGTAAATTTTTCCCAAATCGGAGCAACTGATATAGAGAGGTTAGACCCATTTCTTAGAGCCTCTAAGAAATGTTGAAGAAGGATTAGATGGGAAATTCCAATGAGAGCGTGTGTGTGTGTGTGTGTGTGTGTGTGTGTGTAAGAGAGATAGAGATCTAAGGTCAACAAGCATTTATTGAGTACCTACTGTGTGTAAGGCCCTGTGAGAAGACTAAGATAAGTGAGACATTCCTGCTCTTAAGAAGCTTACAGTCCAATGTAGGAGATTGACAGGTACATGCATAATTGAAACATAAGGCAGAAAGCAAGATGATCTAATAAGTTTTAAACAGAGGACAGGGAAATACAAGCAGGGAATTTGTGAAATCCTGAGAAGGCTTCATGGATGAGATAGCACCATGTTTGAAAATTTTAAATGAGAATATCTCAATTTTCTTAAAATCACTTCCTTTTTATAGTTCACCCCTGCCCAATCAATCATGATCTCCTTTACTGTTTTTGAAATTTAAAAATACTTTCAGTGATTATTTATTGTAATGTATTACCAAATAAATTAATTGAATGCTCCTGCCAACTGTATAAGTCCCTCTCACCCCGAGTTACTATTTAAGGTAATACACTCTTTATCCAAGAGAATAATTTTATTTAAAATGACAGCAAGTTTTTAAGGTGTTTTTTGTGAGGGAAACTGAGAATTAGACAAAAGTACTAGGTTTTGAATGCTTCCCCTTTTTCAGCATTTGCATTTATACCTTGTAAGTTGGTATGATGCTTTCATACTCTTAGTTCTTTCATTATCTACTTTAATTTTTTGCCTAAATTCCCCGTGAAAAGTTTTAATTCCATGATTTAATTTTTTTTAATTAATTACTGTATTACCAAGCCTTTTGGGCTACCACTTTTTACCATCCAGGGTAAATAAGTACAAGATAACTCTTTCAAGGAACATCTAAATACCAAAAATTATGCTTTAAAACCTGTGTGGAATTTCTTTCCAAATTCAATATGAATGACTTGGGTTATCTCCCATTTTGGATTGGGTTTAGGGATTTAGCACCGGCTGTAATAGCTCCTAAAATATGTCATTAAATATGGACGTGTTCCTTCTATATGGTATTTGCTTTCCACTAGAAATGACGGGCAACGTAAACACATTTACAGTGTGTTAAGTAAAAACATTGGCCTGTAACAAAAATTTTAAAATGACACCTAATAGTACTCTCCGTGAAGTCTTGAAAGCCAGAGGAAACGCTTCATCCTCTTTCCTCTATTAGGTTCTTGCTTTGTTCTCAAACTCAAGCAAGTGCCGCAAGTATTAAGAGCCTTATGGATTGGACAGTCCGTGTTGAGAAAGCCTGGGATCCCGACCACACCGTTTTCGCAGTATTTCCTTGGTCAGTTTCACTCTGCCTTCAATCAAGTGATTTCAAATTGCATTTAGGAATTGCACTTCTTGGGGATGCTGTAAATCTTTTATTTATCCTCCCCAGTTTCTACCACAATCCTCTAATGACCACAGAATCTCATGTTGCTTATTGAATGAGGGAAATGTCATCCCCCCCCCACCATGAATAATTAAAATTTGTAACTAGCAATCAATATATTTTAAAGTAATCGATTCATACTATTCCTATTGTAAACTCATAAATGTAAAGTGAAATTCTAAAGCACTGTATGTGTATTTTATATCTTTAGAAATCATAATAAATTGAGTAAATTAGCATACGTATGATTTTTTTTTGATAATAAGATATGTATTCTTAGAAAAAGAATGACTTTGCTGCTTACGCATTTTTATGGTTTTCAGTAAAATAGAGCTAATGGGTTTAGAACACGTGTAGGAAAACATAGTTTTCCAGAAGGGTTATGGGGAAAACACAACCGTGATTATTTTTGATTTCTTGACCATTTTAATTTGGGGGTGGACACCATCTGAATTTTCATGGTAAGATACCCTTTTGTTTGTGTGAAGACAGAAATTATTCCCAGAAGGAAGGTGGCTTCATTTTGCCTCTCTGCCTTTTATTGAATTTCGGGTACATCTGGTGACACATTATCTCCCACAAAAGGCCACTCCAGCCTTTTAAGTAGCACCCTTTCTCACCCTGAAACAATGAAGTATCAGATGATTGCAGCCTCAAACAAAAGATTTCCACTCGCTTTAGAGCACATTACAGCCCTGATTCCCTCCCACCCTGGCGAGGCTGGTCCTCTAGAATTTCTGGTTTAGTCTTTTCTTTGTCAATAGACCATCATAAAGGGGACTTTTTTCATCCTCATTTGTTCCAGCAGGATGCATCCTTTAGTTCATTCTGTTCCTTGGCACAAGCAGTCGTTTCTTCAATAGCACCTTAAATCCCATTGCTTTCCCTTTGTCGTGGAGCTTAAGCTTCATAAATAATTACTTTTGTTCAGAAATCACGCCGCACGCACCGAGTGTTTTTGACAGGCACACTGACTCTGAGAATGCCCTTTGCCCGGTGTAAAATCAGCAGCAATTCCTGATTAGATTTCCTTTCTGTCCCCATTCATTTCCAGGTCATTTGGGTCCTGGGAACGCTTGTTTGTGGCTTCTCTAATGACCACATTTTGTGTTAATGGATTTACTGTAGTTTAGAGCCATTTGGAGGTACCCTCAGGACTAGGATCTTATTCATTGTTTTGGCAGAAATGGAGGAGGATTAATTATAAGGGAATTGAATGAAGTCAGGTGACTCTGAGACACTCTAGTTGTTGAGGAAGGGAAGTAATGGAAGAGGTTGAATGTCACGTTTCTGAAGCCATTGAGCATGTTTTAATTATCTACAGCCATTGCAATAAGAACAGTATGTGGCATAGCACCTCTTTCTTTCCTTCCCTCTTCTCTCTCCCTCCCCCCTTCTCCTCCTCCTCCTCCTCCTCCTCCTCCTCCTCCTCCTCCTCCTCCTCCTCCTCCTCCTTCTTCTCTCTCTCTCTCTCTCTCTCTCTCTCTCTCTCAGCAAAGAAACAGTAAAGTTTTATTTAAAACGTTCTCTTTCATTCAAAAACGTATTAAAATAAAGACTATAAAAGATGAAAAGGACTGTCTTTTGCATGCCAGCGTCTCTTAGATAGGAAAGAAACACGTATAGTCTATTGAACTTTTGCGTGAAGAATTTCTGAAATAGTACTATGCCCTTTCAGCACAGTTCTAGCTACATCCTTATAAAACTGGATTCTTTGAAATTACTGCCTCTCAATTGCTTTGGAAGACACATTAGTGTTAACTCTTCAGAGCCTGAACTCCAGAGTAAAAATACTTGGGCTTGAGACCTGGTTCTCCTGTACACTAGCTAATAAACATTCTAGGTCTCAGTTTCTCGTGTGTAACATGGGGATAATGGCATCCACCTATATATTTGTTGTATTACATGTATTAGATTAGATGAGTTAATACACAGAAGGTGTTTGGAACAAGACCTGGCAGCAAGTGCCCTATGAGCGTTAGCTATTTTTTAAATAATCTTAACCATTATATATATATATATATATATATATATATATATATATATATACACACACACACACACACACATATATATATATATATATATATATATATATATATCTTAATTAACCACAATATTTGAATGCCTACTACTTTAAACCAAAATTTGAGGATTTAAAGAGATAATATAGACTTTAGACTTCCTTCCTAAATGAATTTACAGTGTCTAGTTAAGAGATAATACAAGTAGCCCAGCCAACATGGCTCAGTGGTTGAGCGTCCACCTATGAACCAGCAGGTCACAGTTCGATTCCCAGTCAAGGCACATGCCCAGGTTGCTGGCTTGATCTCCAGTGTGGGGCGTGCAGGAGGCAGCTGATCAATGATCCTCTCTCATCATTGATGTTTCTATCTCTCTTTTCCTCTCCCTTCCTAAAATTATATTTTTTTTAAAAAAAGGTAATACAAGTAAAAATACGTAAATTGCTTCACCATAAGGTGAATATAGTGGGGGAAATGGAACACTAAACACCAGTGCTTGTCTGTTGGGAACTTGTAAGGGCCTCCATGTGGCCCTCATGACATGAACTTCAAAGTTCAGTTTGAAGGACTTAGAATAATGATACTCAAAGTATGACCACCTGCTTCTGTGTCACCAGGGTATTGTTATAAAAATGTAAAATCCAGGGCTCTCTTTGCACCAACTGAGCCAGAATCACTGGGGTGGAGAGTCTAGGAATCTTCATTTTTAACAAGCTTCCCTGGCGATTCTTAAGCACACAATGAAAATTGAGAACATTTGCCATAGCACAGTCACTCTCAACCTAGATGCTCATTAGAAACACGGGGAGGGGCACATTTAAGAGATAACAGTGGTTGGACATTGATATGAGGGGGTGTTATAATGTGCAGCCAGATTGAGAAGCAGTGATATTAGAAGGTGATTTGTGAAGGTGATTGTCCACATATAGTAGGTGTTGGCATAAGAATGTCCAAACCTGTAGAGAATTTTTATAAAAATATATTTGAACCAAACAGGATACACCTGGAAGCAAGATCACCACAGACAAAAATATTAAAAATGCTTCCTATTATAGTAGTTTGCAGCAGCTTTTATGCAGGGAATTTAAAGAAGATTACAAGAAGGTGGGAGGACGAAAGGCAGGGATTAGAGTACAGGATAGTTAAAGATTATGTGCTCACTTGAGGGTGGTTTTGCCTGAAGGGTCTGAAAAGGGCTGTTTCAAAGGGGTGTTAACCTAGATGCACAGAAACAATGGACAGGGATGGCTTAAAGAGGTTTATATGCCCGACCTGCCTGGTTAGGAATTTATGATCAGGTCACCCTGTAAGGGTACTTTTCATAGAACCCCTTTTTCTGCCACACAGGGATGTAAGTGGACTCGGTGTTTTCAGTCATTCCAGTGTTTACCAGGGCCCGGGGAGAAGGTAGGAATGGGGAATTGTTGCCTAAAGGCTATAGAGTATGTTTGGACAGAGTTCTGGAAATGGATGGTTATGATGGTTGTGCACATTCTGAATGTCCTTGATGCAACCGAACTATATACTTTAAAATGGTATAAATGGTAAGTTTAATGATGTGTATATTTTACTGCAATAAAATATACTTTTAATAAAAGCCGTTCTAATTCTCATATTTCTTATTCCTTTTCCCTTTCTTTTTGCAGTGACAGCGTATCATGCATGCCACTAATTCCAGGGGACGCTCCCCTGCTTTCCTGCAACCTCAGAATGGAAATGGCCATCGCTCGTCCGGCTATGTTCCAGGGAAGGTTGTCCCACTGCGTCCCCCTCCTCCTCCAAAGAGCCAAGCTTCAGCCAAATGTCCCCCCATCAGACAGGAAGCCCGGGCCAGCTTTGCTTTCTCACCTGAAGAGCAGCAAGCCCAGGGAGGAAGCCAGAAGCAGAAGAGGCATAAAAATACTTTCATTTGCTTTGCTATCACTAGCTTCTCATTTTTTGTTGCACTTGCAGTCATTTTAGGAATATCCTCAAAATACGCTCCAGACGGTAAGTGCGTGGTGTGTGTGTGTGTGTGTGTGTGCACGTGTGCTTATAGAACATATCCTAGAAGAAGAAAGAAGAAGAAAACAGGGGAATAAGATTAAAATGCTCTGTTATCTTAAGTTGGCTCTAGCTAACTAATATGTAATTAGTTAATACAAGGTGTAACCTGAATGAGAGCAGTTGTCAAAGGAATCCATTGGAAATGATAAAATTAAAGGATGGCTCTGCCTTCCCATTTTGTCACTTTGTGCCAGTGCTCAAGACATTCTTGAGTATTTCTTTTTGAAATGCTAATTTTAAGAGTCTTTGCTGAGTTCTTGTGGGAATTTCATCCTTTGTGGGAGATAGGCCTTTCATTTGCCAAAAGTTTTTAGTGATGAAGATCACTAACTGGAGTGATAAACTACGTTTGATTTTTTTTTTTTTTTAATATAAGTGAAGGCCCTGGCCAGGTAGCTCAATGGGTTGGAGCATCATCTCGATGGGCCAAGGTTGAGAGTTTGATCCCTGATCAGGGCGCATACAAGAATCAACCATTGAACACATAAATAAGTGGAACAGCAAATCAATGTTTCCCTCTCTTTCTCTTCCTTCCTCTCTCTTGTTCTCTAAAATGAATAAGTAAAAGTTAAAAATATACATACATATATGTGAAAATAATTAAGTTTGTGTTCTGCGGTTTGCAGCTGGCTGGGGGACTATTCCAAAAGAGAAGCCTTAAACATTTTTGAGGAACAATGTCTGTTCTAAAAGGAAAACATCCATTAGGAGGCGTGATTCCTGAAATATTTGTCTAAAAAATCACTCATTACTTCATAGTTAAAGATCATGTAGGGAGGTTTTAATTTCTTAAAGGCCTTTGCTTTCCAAGTTGGTAATATATGAATATTTTGGGTGATTTTGAAAAAGTTCATTGTCAGTCAGCCTAAATACTATACCAACAAAGAACAGCTTCATAACAGAATCCCATCCATCCGTGTGAAAATCAGAGAAGAAGCAGACGTAGCAGCCTGGACTGGGCACCATAGTTATCTGCATTTTTTAGTCTACAACATATTTTTGTCACATTAGATGTCTCCTTAAATGTATATAACATTTGAGAAGCATTTTACCATTTAAAAGACTTACAAATATTATTTTATTTAGTTTCCATGGGTGATTTAGAGGTTTATAGACTTTAAGGTCCTGGGGAGAGGTATGTCAATACTTCTAAGTAGACCTGAGTAAGAGATGTTCATATCAACAGCTTTGTTGACCACGCCCTTAGACTGACCACATTATGAACTTGTAATGCTGCTTTTCATTGCACATAGCATTGACTTTCCTTCCCTTTTCTCCAGCAGAATAACCAAGCTCACTGCTGTTGACTTATTCTTTCCAAGTGATTTGCAATAAAGGGATGCTAGGTTAGTGGAAAATCAGCCGAAACCTGTGGCTTTCACTGATGTTTTCATATTCCATTTCAAACAGTGAATTGCTGATGTGGTTCCTTGAATCAACATTCTTTAGTTTCATATTTTGGCAGAATATCAGTGGAAAGATCTGGTATGCTGAAGTGTTTCAGGGTCAGGCTCACGGTGGTTATTGCTCTTACGTAAGTTTGATAATGCACCCACTGCTCAACAAGTGGGTAGCCGGGAAGATAGGGCAGGCCAAGCTATTTTTCAGGGCTTTCTGCAGACCACACACTTTCTCATTAAATAAATGTTACTGGAAGGAAACAGCCTGGAGTTTTTGTTGATGGTTCCAATGAAGCGTGCTCTCCTGGGGAATAATTATAAACAACTAAGGAGAATTATGTAATTATTGTAGTAGCCTCTAGATATCAAAAGACTGGATTTCCTTCTCCATAGCTGGGCACAGTGTTGTCACATGGGACATACATTCGCTTCTGATATGACATTTTGGAGAATTCCAGCTAGATGTTTTATGGCAAGAGAGGGAGGTAGAAGAAAAGTTTAAGGGATCTTCAATATTAAGTTAGAACACATTCAAGAAATTTCTTGTTTCCTCCATGGGAAGGAAAGTTTAAGGATTATTCTTGATATAGTAGTGATGATCACTGATTTACCAGAATTAAATATCAGTGATTATGAAACTGCTATGAGAAAAATTAATTCCATGAAATAATTGTCAAGGTCTTAACTAGTGGGACAAATAATAGCTTGGAGGGCTGTAGGCTCATTGCTGTGTGTGTGTGTGTGTGTGTGTCTACATATAAATTTTACAGTGTCTAGTATAGAGTGGACAAATGGATCCTCAATAAATACAGTCATTAGTTAATCCAAACTGGTGTGATGTCCTCCCCGCCCATTCTTTCAAATTATAGCAGAAAATAAAGGTCTCATGCATTAAATACCTGCGGCATTACAGAATACTTTTATGTTTTCATAATCACCTATTCAAGAGGCAAGTTCTCATTTAGTAAAGGGTTACAGGAAGTAAAGTAAACCTCATTTCTTAAAGGGGAACTTTCCTATCACTCAACGTGCTGAGTAATCTTGGGTTTGACTTCTCTAATCTGTGGTTTTCTCCCCTCTGAAAATGAGAAGTCATGCCTTTGGCCATTTGCCTCTTGCAGCTTTGTTGGGAAAGGGTGGTACACTCTAAAGATAGGGATACTTTTCAGCTACTGCCTTGGGAGTGGAAGAGGTGCTATTATCACCTACTAATGACTCACTGTGCACAGGAAAGAACTTGGGAAGACCTAATATACATATTGCTTAGCAGTGTCCATTAATTTCAGATTGCAATACATGATGGTAGTGCTTGGATTTGGCTAAAGGTATCCTTCCATTTTGTTGGGTTGATGGGATATTGATGTTACATTGTCTTACAGAGAACTGCCCAGATCAAAACCCTCGTCTCAGGAACTGGGATCCAGGACAAGATTCTGCAAAGCAAGTTGTTATCAAGCAGGGAGATATGTTCCGTCTGACCTCAGATGCCACAGTGAATTCTATAGTCATTCAGGATGGAGGTGAGTAATGGTTCCTGTCTATGGGAACAGCTTGCTGTTTACTACGGGGCACATTTGATGTTCTTTCCATAGAAAACTGTTTGTAGCCTTTAGGATGTGGCGTTACTCTAACCACGGAGACATGCAAAGTTCCTGAGGTAGAACCATAGAACTCAAGAGCTCGAAGGGCCTTAGAAATCACTCAAGTCAACACCCTTGATTTATAGAAACCGAAACAGCTCCAGAAGGTGAATTCTCATAGCCAAATCTTTGTTACAGCTGTGGAGAGTGATGAGAAAATTAACATGGGTTCACGTGGAAAAATGAGATTCAGATTTGAAGGCCCTTCGATACTACTATTCTGGAAAAGATTTACCTCTAAAGGGAGTGGAGTGAAATTCATTTTTAGTGTGCTGAGATATGAGCTCTTCATTTCTGATGAGACTTAGTGTATTCTTTTTAAACTCAACTTAATTATGGAAGAGTCCTCCCCCCCCCCCCCCGCCCCACATACACACACACACCCAAAAGTGAAATCTATTTCTCTGTATGTCAGAAAGATGTTTCCAAAGTGGGCTGACACCAGTGTTGTTCTCTGCAGGGCTGCTTGTATTTGGGGACCATAAAGATGGATCCAGAAATATTACTTTGAGGACTCGTTACATCCTGATCAAGGATGGTGGGGCGCTTCATATTGGAGCAGAAAAATGCCGCTATGCATCCAAAGCGACAATTGCCTTGTATGGCAAGTCCGATGAAGGTGAAAGTATGCCAACATTTGGCAAAAAATTTATTGGTGTGGAAGCCGGCGGGACACTGGAGTTACACGGGGCACAGAAGGCGTCGTGGACGTTGCTGGCGAGAACTCTGCACGCCTCAGGCCTGACCTATGGCGCCTATGCCTTTGAGAAGAACTTTTCCAGGGGCCTCAATGTGAGGGTCATTGACCAAGACACAGCCAAGATTTTGGAAAGCGAGAGGTTTGACACCCACGAATACCACAACGAGAGCAGGCGACTTCAGGAATTTCTGAGGGTCCAGGATCCGGGACGGATTGTTGCTATAGCTGTTGGAGATTCAGCAGCCAAGAGCCTCTTACAGGGAACCATACAAATGATCCAGGACCGGTTGGGAAGCAAGCTGATCCAAGGACTGGGCTACAGGTGGGCATACCTTTGTGCTTTCTTCTCCAGGTCCGTGTGAGAGTCTACATCTATGTGACAGGAGAGCAAGGGTGGACAGATACACAGCACACCAGGGCCTGACTCCAGGTCAGAATGGCCACTGCCATCTGGAGGACTGGTTGCCTCTTGCTTTGAAACATGGGCCTGGAGGACAGGATACTGGTTACAAATGCTCTCTTCTTGGCTTTGGCTTATGAAGCACTTTGTGCACTGTAGCATCAGGCTTGCGAAAATAAGAGAAATGTGGCCTGCCCATCATGGCTCAGTGATTGAGCGTTAACCTATGAACCCAGAGGTCAGGGTTTGATTCCCGGTCAGGGCACATGCCTGGGTTGTGGGCTAGTGTGGGGCATGCAGGAGGCAGCCAATCAGTGGTTCTCTCTCATCATTCGTGTTTCTATCTCTCTCCCTCTCCTTTCCTCTCTGAAACCAATTTAAAATATATATATATATATATATATATATATATATATATATATATATCAGCAATATGGTACTAAAAAAAAAAAAGAAAAAATCATGCAGTGTAAGGACAATTTACTCTTCTCTTTCATTATCTTCTGAAGTGTGTCCTATTAGACTCAGGCTAATTAAGGCACCTTAGGAGTTGAAAGGTTAGGGCCCAGTTTCGTGCTAAGTAAAAGTTGTCTTAAAAGTCTGAGTGGGGTGGAACATGCACAGTTTTCTCTTTTGGAACCTTTGGTGGTCATTTGGATCTACTGATTGGCTTGGCGCAGGGCCGGGGAGGCCTGGCACACACGTGAGGAAGGAATAAGCTGGAGGGCCAGGAGGTTCATCCAGAGAGTAGGGATCATTTGTACTATTTGTGGTTCTTGTGCCATATTCTCGTTGACCGTGATTTCCTAACGCATCCCTGAGCTGGCTCAACATTTCATTCAAAAAACAGAAGTTTCAATTCTGCTTACTCTTCTTAGTAACGTCAAGGAATATCTGCAGTGAAAAGTAAGAGGATTTCAAAATTCACATATTAAAACAATCTAGTTATTTTGTTGATGGTTGGTTGATCTAGTTATTTTTTCCTTGGAAATCTGGTTGTTGGAATGAAATACAATCTACAGAAATTCTGGAGAAAGTTAAGACAAAGTGAGTAAAGAAAAGGGGTCTGTAATGTTTTAAAAGTGCTTTTTATTCACCCAGGGAATATGTAAAAGTTGCTAAGAGCTGGGTACCCGTAGATCTTTGATGAAACGACACCCTCTCAGAGCCTTTGTTTAATCTAGTGCAGTGGTCGGCAAACTGCGGCCCTTCAAGTGTGGCTCTTCCACAAAATATCACGTGCGGGCGCGCACTTCCAGTGCAATTGAAACTTCGTGGCCACACTCAAGGGGCCAGAGAGCCGCATGTGGCTCGCGAGCCACAGTTTGCCGACCACTGATCTAGTGGGTAGACAGAGACCTGAGTAGGTGAGGATCGAACAGTAAGACACTTGCTGCATCTACAGGCTGCAATGGGAGTGTAGAAGAAGGAATCCAAAATTGGCCTGGGTTAGTCGGTGGAGGCTCTCCAAGGCGAGGATGTTTAGGAGTGTGCTGTCTATGCGGTGGAATGGAGGTCTTTCCAGACAGGGAGAACAACGTGCAAAAAGTCAGAAGTGTTTTTAAAAAGCTTTATTAAATATAATATACATACAGAAAAGTGCTCAAAATAAGAATGTAGAGTGTAATGACTTGGCACAATGTGATATCTGGGTCTCTACCACCCAGTTCGAGAAATAGAACACTGCCAGTGGCCCATCCAGTTCACTGATCACTCCCTCCACTCGCCAAAGGGAACCAACCGCCCTGCTTTTGTGGAGAATACTAAAGTGTTTGGACTTCATGTAAATGAGGGCAAGTAATATATCATACTTTGTGTCTGGCTGCTTTGCTCAACTCTGTTATTGAGGGTCATCTGTGTTGTTGCATGTAATGCTGGCTCATTGTCACAGCTGTTTATCTTCTGTTGTATGTTTATGCCACGAGGTATTCACGGCTGGCTCTCTGGGTGGCTTTCCAGTTTGGACCTCTGTTACCACAGGCGCTTCACTGAATGGTCTTTACCCACCTCTTGATGCACATGTGCACCTATGTGTATAGCTCCTAGACCTAGGAGAGGAGCACTTTTTCAGTTAGACCCCCTCCTTTGTTTCCTGATCCAGAAATGCCAGGGGTTACACCCTTTGTTTCTTCATGCCATTATTGTTCTAGATCAGTGTGATCATTAGCCATGAATATTTTGTTTGACGTTATTTATTTATTTATTCCCTCTACTGGTTTCTAAATTCCCTTTAAAATATAGCTGCTGATTTGGCGGAGGAATCAGTGTTGTGATCCTTTGCCAGTGTTCCCTGCTCTGACATTATCTCCAGTGTACATAAACATGCCCCTTTGAAGATAATGTTCTGGTGCACTGACATTTTCCTCAAGTGGAGGCGGGAAGTAGGAGTGTTTTGGAGATAGTGTCAATAGAATCCAACATTGTTTTATAGTTGCTGAGGCAGTCCTGGTAAATAAAGGCAGCCTCTGCTATTTTTCCTCTCCTCCCCTCTCACACAGGAGATAATACATTGAGACAGCCTTCATTTGATTCTTTCTGCTGTGTCAAGGAATATAAATAGAGCTATAAAGCGTTGTCAGCCAAAGAGGAGCTAAATCCAGGCAGGGGTGGGTGTGGAATTTATAAGGATGTCGGCATACTTCGGTTAACTTTTATCTGTGACTATCCGGCCATCTGTCTGGCATAGATTACATTTGGTGTATTTTGTTTTTCCTAGAGAAGGAAGTTGACATTTTTCTTTTCATGTTTTAAACCAGGAGACTTAAGGCAAATTTTTGAGTCTGTATTTTTTTTTTTTTTTGATTGATTTTTGGCAACAAGCTTAAGCAAGTCCCTGGGAGTAAGCTTATCCCAATATCACAGAAATAAAATGGTGTTTTCAAGAACACATTGCTTTTAACAAATAGACACGTAGGATGTACAGTCTGTTGGATAGTAATTCCACAGCTTTAAGAAAGCTAAGAAACATTTAGCCCAGTGGTTCTCCGCCTTACTTGTACGCCTGAGATTTAAATATTCCCGATGGCCAGGGCCCACCCTTGGCCACTTACTTCAGGACCTGCGGAGGTTAGGACCCCAGGCAACAGATGTGCAGTCGGGGTTGATAACTACTGCTCTGTGCTCTGACCTCCAGCTCATGGGTTCTCAGTGTGGTCTCTGGACCAGAAGCCTCAGCGTCACCCGGGAACTTGTTAGAAATGCAAGTTCTCAGGCTCTGTTTCAAACAGGTGGTGTACCGAGCAATCTGATTTAACAAGCCTTCCAAGTGATTTTGGGGTCTGCTGATGCCAGAGGACCAGCGCTGTAACTCAGTGGTTCTCCAGTGTGTTCTGCACTTTCAAATCACCTGGGAAACTTTGACAATTTACCAATGTCGGCCCCATCTGTAGAGAGGCTGACTGCATGGGTCTGTGCTGGGTCTGAGCAGAGATGTGTTCTGAAAGCTCCCCATGTGATTCTATTATGCAGCTAGACTGGAGAACATTGCAGAGAGGAGAGTCGAAAAGAGCAGGTTTTATTTATTTATGTATTTATTTTTATTTATTTATTTCAGAGAGGAAGAGAGAGGGAGAGAGAGAAACATTAATGATGAGAGAGAATCATCCATTGGCTGCCTCCTGCACTCTCCTTAACTGGGGATCGAGCCTGCAACCTGGGCATGTGTCCTTGACTGAAATCAAACCTGGGACCCTTCCGCCCACAGGCTAATGCTCTACCCACTGAGCACCCGGCTAGGGCGAAAAGAGCAGGTTTTAAAAGAAGGACAAATAAATGGATTCTTGGCCAGAAGGGTGGTGAATGAAATGGGTGTGTATTGAAGATGGAAGTCAGTCATTAATTCAAGTCACAGTCACCGGTGTTGCACCTGTTACAGAGCTGGACAAACAAGGTTTTAAAATTCAGGTGCATTTCCTTCTGAGACGCCATTTACTTCACAGTCAGCATTTGGACTTGCAACCTCATGTAGAGAAAAAGGTGGAGGGACTGGAAAGAATGAGCTAGGAGACTCAGACGACACCTGATCTAACATCTGTGCCAGGGATTTGGGTCAGTCCCGCGACAAATAATCAAATGCACGCGCTCTTGTTCCTTCCAGGCAAGCTTGGGCTTTGGTTGGTGTCATCAACGGTGGAAGTACTTCTTGCAATGAATCTGTGAGAAACTATGAAAATCATAGTAGTGGAGGAAAGGCTCTTGCCCAGAGAGAATTTTATACTGTGGATGGTCAGAAGTTTGCGGTGACAGCTTATAGTGAATGGATTGAAGGTAGGCAAGCATGGTGTATACTTTTGTAAGACATGGGTAAGTATTGTGACACATTTTATTTTTTAAAGTGATAGTGTATTCAAATGACATTCCAGTTAGATTTCTCAACTGGTTGAGAGTAAAACCAACAGTTCCCCTACTGTACTTGATCTGTTCTGGATTGGGCACCACTCACTGGGCTTTGTGCGTGGTTCTCGAGCTGATTTAGTGTGGCTAACTAGTGAAAATAGATTCGTTGCCCTAACCGGTTTGGCTCAGTGGATAGAGCGTCGGCCTGCGGACTGAAGCGTCCCGGGTTCGATTCCAGTCAAGGGCATGTACCTTGGTTGCGGGCACATACCCAGTAGGGAGTGTGCAGGAAGCAGCTGATCGGTGTTTCTCTCTCATCGATGTTTCTAACTCTCTATCCCTCTCCCTTCCTCTCTGAAAAAATTAATAAAATATATTTAAAAAAGAAAAGAAAATAGATTTGTTTCCTGGATGTGATATGGTGAGCTGTCTTAGTTTATGCTCGGTGACAGTGAGCATGATCTTGTACCTTGAGTCTTCTCTTTCTGTACATATGTCAGCAAAATTACCTTTGAATACATGTTATAAAAGTAAAAACTAATCTTTAGCCACATGATTCAGAGATAATTATTTTGGTGCAAATAGTCTAGTATTTTTTATCTTACGTATGTTCCCTCCCTTGGTGTTCATTTTGTTTTAACCTGTTTTCCTCTCTTTAAATAACATACTGCAAAAGTACCTCATGTCTTTATATTTTCTTCAATATACTTTTAATGATAATCCGTCTTTCAGAAGAGCTATAATTTATTTGAATAATACCTAGTACTGACAATCAGGGTGCTTCTGACTTTTTTCTCTTAGTGACGTTCACTGTATATATACTTTTTTACTATCCACGTTGCTGCCAGATTTTTGGCTTTAGGTATACATTGGCAGCTCTGTGCTTGCCCATCACCTTTTTTCCCCAACCAAATATTATACCCAAACGAATGTGAAATGAGTGAGTAAGAGGTGTTTCATTATACCCCTGATTATCCAGAAAGGCTTAGTTTAGACTGGGCTCATTCTCTGTTTTTAGAAGTAGCGTAACAAACGTTTTTACTAAAATGACTTTCTGGAGACAGAATGCCCGGATTCATATCCCAGCCCTTGCACGTACTCTGTGGTGGTGGGCATGTGACTTTCTAACCCTCAGTGTCCTCATCTGAAAAATGGGGATAATAATAGAGACTGCCATATAGGGCTGTTATGAGTATCAAATGTGAAGAATATGACGTTATCTTTAGCATAGCGTGTATAATCAGCACTCAATAAAAGTTACCTATTTTTTTTCTATGAAATATTTCATCCTTGGTGGCCTTATGCCTAAACATTTTCTAAATGCTTTTTAAATTGGTTTTAGAGAGAGGAAGAGAAAGAGAGGGGGAGGGAGATGGGGAGAGAGAGAAACATCTATGCGAGAGAAAAACACCGGTTGACTGCCTCCTTCACGCACTCTGGTCAGGGATCTAACCTGAAATCTGGGCATGTGCCCTGACTGCCAATTGAACTGGCAACTTTTGGTGCACAGGACAATACCCCACCAACCGAGCCACACCAGCCAGGGCAGTGTTACCTATTTTAATGATGATGCAAACGTGACCTGGGTTATAATGGTGTATTTTGTATGGTCATTAAAGAGAGCCTTTTGCTTTAAGACAGAGTTTGCGTTATGAAACAGGGGCTTTTACTCATTGCCTCAAAGCAACCTTCTGGGTTTGGGGTGAGGAGATGGTATGATTATGGACGAGGAAGCTGGAATCAAGCTCAGTTTTCTGCCTCCAAGAAAAAGCAGAAGCATGGGTGGCTGAGAAGCATTTCTTAGTCGGAATTTGTGTGAAAAGTTCAGTACAACTGCTTCCAGTAAGATTCCAGGCAGAAGATAATTACTGACAAACCTTGGTCAACACTTCCTCTGTGGGAAATATTGTTTTCATTTTCACATTACTGATGACTGCTCACTTCTGGAGGAGGGTACGCGCTAGCTTTCTGTCGCAGGTTGTTGTTTGTGTCCCACGTTCTCAATGACTCCTGCTTTCTGGAAGAGGGGCCAGTTCTCGTCAGGAAGCAGGGGGGAGGCACTTACTTCCTTTCAGCCTCCAGTTCCGTAGTGCTGATAGGAGATAATCTTAGACAGGCTTTTCTCCTAAAGCCAGAAAAAAAAGTGAGGAATAATATAGATCTTCCCCACCCGCCTTCTGGGTTCAAAAACAAAAACAGAAACACGGAAACAAATTCTAATGATCATTTAAGTCAAAACTTATTTACCTAGTTTTTAAAAAAATTTATTGATTTGGTTTTTTTTTTTAGAAGGAGAGAGAGAGAGAGAGAGAAACATTGATGTGAGAGAGAAACATCAATCAATGCCTCCCGTGCATGCCCCCCCCCCCCTGGGGGGGGTCGAACCCCACAAGTTGGGTGTGTGCCCTGACTGGGAATTAAACCTGTTGCCTTTTGGTATACAGGACGACGCTCAAACCAACTGAGCCACACTGGCCAGGATAATCTAGTTTTCTTAAAAGCATTTTTGCTTAAAATCATCCTTGTCATCTTTTAAAAGCATTATTGAAATTTACCTGAAATTTTTATGAAAAACGTTAATATTTAGTTGCCTTTTTTTAGATAATTTTTTTTGGGTAAGAATATGGAATTTTGGGTAAGGATTGTTGCTGCCATGAAGTTTTTTATTACCTTTGTTCTTTACCTGTCTATTTTGATTCTTGGGAAGGCAGAATCATATAGAGGTTAAGAAATTGGCTCTACCGTTTTTTGGCTGTTATTCAGACTCCCTGACCTTTGGTTTCTTCATCTCATACATATAACAGTGCCCGTCTCTCATAGCTGCTTTCACGAAAGGTTATGTTTGTGAAGTCCCCAACATCTTAGCTGTTGTTATTGTCAGTTATTATTTGGGCAACATTCCATGATGGGCTTTAGTATCTGGACTCAATAAACATATTAAAAATGCACTTTACATTTCTAAGGTATCTATTTTTTGGTGCTTGGTAGACACTGCAAAGCAGAGTAGATCCCAGTCTAAAGGAACAGAATCTGAGACTTGCTCAGATTAGGTTTTATCAGGATCGATGGCTCAAGACTATAAGGAGAACTGGATTATTCCTCGTGCCATGTCTGAATTTCCATCCTTTTGATTCCCCTGACGTAGTAGAGGTGTTTTTTCACTCCCATCATGGTCCTTTAGAGCAGCAGTCGCCAACCGGTGGTCTGGACCACTGGTGGTCCGTGAGGTCCGAAAGGTTGGCGACCGCTGCGTTAGAGTCACTGTCTTAAAGGAGCACCCGATCAGCATGTTACATTCTGGTCAGGGGTGGATGGGCTCTCTCCTCATGGCAGGGATCTGTGTTTGCATCTTTCACTCATTAATATCTACAGAATGACTTCCACATGGTGACCATTAGTAAAAATGTGCTGACTTGTGTTTATTGTGACTGTCGATTTGTTCATCAGTGAGAGGGTCCACATTAGGAGAAAAAAAACTTCCGCTAATGCATCGCTTTCTTTCTTTCTGGTTTAGGTGTTTCTCTTTCAGGTTTCCGGGTGGAAGTCGTGGATGGCGTGAAGCTTCACCTGCTTGATGACGTTAGTAGCTGGAAACCCGGAGACCAGATCGTGGTTGCAAGCACAGACTACTCCATGTACCAGGCCGAGGAGTTCACGCTGCTCCCCTGTCCCGAGTGCAGCCGTTTCCAGGTCAAAGTCAAAGGTATCCGGCTGCGCAGAATGCTTTTTTGGGAAACACCCTTTTCTTGGGATTTGATTCCTGGAGTTATATGTCCCCCCCCCCCCCCCCCCAATCACCATCATCACCACCATCACCATGTTTCATGCCTGTTCCATTGTTTAATAAAAGATGAAGACATGCCGAAACCGGTTTGGCTCAGTGGATAGAGCGTCGGCCTGCGGACTGAAAGGTCCCAGGTTCGATTCCGGTCAAGGGCATGTACCTGGGTTGCGGGCATAAGTAGGAGATGTGCAGGAGGCAGCTGATCGATGTTTCTCTCTCATCGATGTTTCTAACTCTCTATCTCTCTCCCTTCCTCTCTGTAAAAAATCAATAAAATATATTAAAAAAAAAAAAAAGATGAAGACATGGTGGATCGATTGCTTTCTAAGGTCCTTCCCAACTTCTTTTTAAACTGTCAAGAAATAGTAAACCCAGCCATTCGACTAGATTCATTTTTAATGGAAATTTATCTTCTTAATAAAATTAAAAAAAATCTGTGGTTTTTGAGTGCCTACTTCCTTTGCAAAAAGTAGATCTTATTAATATTTAAAATGGAACCAAAAAGGTATTTTAAGAAGACTACATTTCCTATCAGAATCTTCACTTGTACATCTTTTGAGGGAGAGCAGTGCCCAATGAGATTGTCACTGTAAACTGTTTAGAAAGAATGGGCAAAGCTTCTTCATGCATTGCCTCAGTTATGGACTTCATTGTGTATGTCACTCGTTATATTGCTTTCCTTGCTTCTGTACTCAAGAGCTTACAGTAACTGTTTGATAAGTACTCACTCAGTGAGTGGTTTAGAGCTTTGGAGTTTAAGGGAAACTTTTTTGCTTTAAAATAAAGCAGGATGATTGGCTCGCTTGGCACTTTTCCTCTGTGTTTCAGTGTTGTACTTTTCCTTCTTGATAACACAGGGCATAAGCAGAAAACAGAAAAACGCAGCAAACTACGATACCATCTGGCATTGATTTTGTTTGGAAATTCCCACTGCTGTTAACAAGTCTACATGATAATGAATCTCCATGATCTCAACTCCTCGATTTACTTTTATTTTCTCCCTTGAGTTTATATAATAAAAACATCAGAGAGGAGCTCATTATTAAAGAGTTTCTAAATTTCCAGTCAAAGTGGGAACTTAAAAGAATGCATAATATTAAAATAGGAAGACTAGGAAAGAAAAGATGGTAGTTTTTGTGCTATTAATGTGCAAATGCAGACTACTTCAGCTTTGAAGTAGAAACAAAAACAACTCACACCCTGTTATCAACATCAATAAAACCATTAGTTTTTCTGGACTCACCATACATTTGGTTTTTCATGTGTCCTCACGGGGGGGTGGGGGGAGGGTGGGGGGTGGGGGGGTGGGGGACAAAAGCATATGGATAGGGAGAGAGAATCTGGATTCTTCAGTAGATTCCAGATTATTGTTTCCAGATTAAGGGAGGATTGAGCTACTTCAGGGAGGAGCAAGCTCTGTGTGTGGATTTGACAGTTGGTCAAATTGGGTGGGTGATTCAACCAGATAATCACTAATACCCTTACTTCCTGGAATTCTGTGGTTCTAAACTTGGATGGAAGTGGACAGTAATGTTTGATAATGTCTTGGGGTTACAGAATAACGCGACTGTCTTTTTGACATAAGTTCCATGTTTTCTTTGTTCTAATATTATTTTTCCCTTGCCCACATCAACCAGAAACCCCGCAGTTCCTGCACATGGGTGAGATCATAGATGGTGTAGACATGAGAGCTGAGGTTGGAATTCTCACCCGGAATGTTGTAATCCAAGGAGAAATGGAAGATTCGTGCTATGGTGAAAACCAGTGCCAGTTCTTTGATTATGATACCTTTGGGGGACATGTCACGGTAGGCAGAAGGATTTGATGCATTCTTTGAAACTTTGGTTGCTAAATATATTTGAAAAAACTTTCAAGTTTTGGAATGAGATCTATAAGGATATTAAGAAGAAATCATATTTTATTTCTCTATTGAATGACAAAGAGCAGATTTTAGATAATTAAAAGAAAGTTTATATCTTCATGTAGTTGACCTGGACCTGAGGTTAAGCTGTCTAAGAATTGCCTTATGAAGAATTAAATCAATACATTGGGAAGAATGAATTATACAGAGGCAAAAAATAAATCTTGGTATGAAAGGATCAATTGGTTTTTTATAAAACATGATTAAGCAATATACACATACAAACTATGTTTCTGAAAAGCTATTTTTTATATGGAGATTTTCTGTAAAAGTATTGAGCGCTTTCTATGTGGTAAAATTGCTCTATATCCTAATTATTGGACTTCTGGGCTGCATTTTGGCTACCTGTGTTTTAAAATCAGTGTTTGTGCAGTAAGTGGGCTACACCTAATAGCAGCATTTCTGTTACACCAATTTCTGAAATGTTGGTCAATGTTATTTCTTTGTTTTCAGTAGTATGATTGAAAATCCAGTGTTTAAAAATATCGAATGCCTTAATTGTGGATCACAGGAATTTTTTAAAAGAACGGAAGTAAACAATATTATATGCCAACAAAAATATTGAGGGCCAATTTAGAAATATCTCTTTCAAACTATTGTGGAAGTTATGGAAATAAAATAACAAGATGAGACTGGAACTGACCAAAATATTTGAACAAATCAAACCACATACAGAAATCATTTCTGCAGCTTTCCTGGTTACATTTCCTTTTATTGTTAATATAAGATGCTATTAGTCCATAGCCCTTTACTAGTAAAGCAATCACTTATGCAGAGGAGGAGCATTTGCGAAGTTATTAACTGGGGACCCGGTAAAATAGTGTGCGAAAGACAGTAAATGTTTTAATATGTATGTAATCTCCTTCCGACATTTCCTATGAAACAATATATTTTGCTACTTTCCTGTAATGACATGTATCATCTGATTTTGGTTACTGTGTCTTCCAGATAAGGAAGAATTTTACTTCAGTCCATCTTTCTTATGTGGAATTGAAACACATGGGCCAGCAGCAGCAGCTGGGACGGTACCCCGTTCATTTTCACCTGTGTGGGGACGTGGATCACAGGGGAGGTTACAGACACAGAACATCTGTGGACGGACTCTCTATTCATCACAGCTTCTCCCGGTGCATCACTGTGCATGGGACAGATGGCTTGCTGGTGAGCAGGGGGTGCATATTATTGAAGTAGTACCTCTCCTTAAATCTCATGACTTCTCAATTTTATGGAAGTGAGCTCTGCACCACATGCCTTACTCTATCTTGCTTTTACGGAGAATCCTGTTTTTCTGTGTGAAGGAGGCCTCCCTTTTTAGCTACCCAAATTATTCCCTTAAGAGATCAATAAAACCTGACATTTGACTTTGCCCCTTCAGATAAGATGAAAAGTTCTTTTCTGCATTTGTACCCAGCAGGCTACACTGAATAGCACTTGCTACTTAAACCACAATCAATCTTGCAACCCATGACATTATGCACTTATGTTTCTGCAGATAAAGGACACCATTGGGTTTGACACACTGGGTCATTGTTTCTTCTTGGAAGATGGAGTTGAACAGAGAAATATTTTGTTCCACAATCTGGGACTCCTCACCAAGCCGGGCACCCTCCTTCCCACTGACAGGAATAACTCCATGTGCACCACAATGCGACAAAAAGTGTTTGGCAATTACATCCCTGTGCCTGCCACTGACTGTATGTGAGTAACTGGCAGAGAGAAGAACTCATGTGTGATGGTCAAGGTCTTTGGCTGTTGGGGAAGAAGCTTTGGGGGAAGTTTTTAGTGGGCAGAGTATTTCATGATGGATATTTAAATCACCTTAAAAAATGCCTTGCAGGGCTGTTTCAACTTTCTGGATTGCTCATCCCAACAACAATCTGATTAATAACGCAGCTGCAGGCTCACAGGTAAATAAGACCTAAGTGCTTTCAGGTTTTTCTGTTCATATTTACAAAATTCTTTTTTTTTTTTTTTTTTTTTTTTTTTGTGAATTTTCTTTTATTGGGACATAGGGGGTAGGTAACTTGGTGGTTATACCCCACCAGGGTACTGTCCATTCTAATCTTCCTGGGCTAGCTTTTGGAGCTTTTTCTTTTTCTTGGAGCTCTTGTTACTAACAGCCTCTTCAGGTCCACTGCTGAGAGGTTCCTCCTTCAAAGAGAGTTTCCTCTTTTTCTTGGGAACACTCCTGTTTGTTGCCTCTTCAGGTTCACTAACTGGTTCCTGTTTGGTTAAAGATTTCTTCCTCTTGGGAAGATTTCCATTGTTAGCTGTCTCAAGATCGTTATTAACAAACTCCTCCTTGGAAAAAGATTTCCTTTTCTTGGGTTTGGGTAAAGAAACGGGTGGGTCTTCTGTTCCATTCTCCTGAGGAGTCTCCTGGAGCTTTTGCTTTTTCTTCTTTTTGGGTTTTTCATTTGTCTCCTCACACTCCTCTGGTGTACTGCTGCTGTTTTCTGGAGATGCAAGGGCAATCGCAGCCAGCCGTTTCTTTTCCTTCTTCAAGCGTTTCTTCTCCTGTTTCTCCAGCTTTCTAGTAATCTCGGCGGCCGCTTCCTCTGCCTGTACCATTGCCTCCTTCATGACCTCCAGATTCTTTCGTGGAATCACGCCAGTCTCATAGAAGGATAGCCGCTCCTCCACTTGTTCTCGAAGCTTCTCCCCAAATACACTTGTGGGTACCTCAGAGAAGCAATCAATTCGCGAGGCAATACTGCATTTGTTTGCCAGGTATCGGGAGATGCGGCCTTTGTTCTTGGCAGCTGCTCGGCCAGTGAAGGTGGAGTGGAAAATGAGTCCATATTTTGGGGTGTTACCCCTTGTCTTCAGGGCTCTGGAAACTTGGTCCCTTTTCTGGGCCCTGGGAATCACTACAAAATTCTTATATATGGATGTGACGTTATGGATATAACTCCATGTGTGGCAGTCTCTCTCCTGCGTCTTATTGGTTCCTGGTACTACTTGTCTAGTTGAGAGCAGATGTGACGGAGATGCTTCTTCCATTTCTTCTAAATCAATTATGCCAGCTTGTATCATCCTGCAATGAGCCGTTGAAGCCCCTACATCATCTCAGCTCATCCCTACTAGCTCAGGATGCCTTATATTCCTCAGTTCCTTTAACATCCTTGAGCCTCCCCTCCATGTGGGGTCTTTGACTCACTCCTGTATGCAGGTTCCTATACGTATGTATTAAATTTGGTTATTTTTTCTTGCTAATCTGTCTCATGTTTACCTTGAGGGTAGAGAAAAGTTTGTTCCTCCCCCACAATAGCTACTAGTCTTAAATAATTAAAAGTATACATAATAAAGTACATATTTTTTAAAAAATATTTTTATTGATTTCAGAGAGGAAGGGAGAGGGGGAAAGAGAGAGAGAGAGAGAGAGAGAGAGAGAGAGAGAGAGAGAGAGAGAGAGAAACATCATTGATGACAAGAACCATTGGTCATCTGCCTGCTGCACACCACACTGGGGATCAAGCCCACAACCCAGGCATGTGCCCCAACCAGGAAGTGAACTGTGACTTCCTAGTTCATGGGTTGACGCTCAACCATTTAGCCAAACTGGCCAGACTTCATTTTATTTTTTATCAGTGAAGCAATCAAGCATTTAAAAGAGACTTTATATTTCACTGGAATATTTGTAATAAAAAAATTGAAGTTAGTTGGAAATGCTCGATAATTTCTACATCATGAATTTTATCAAGTCATGTCATGTAAATTTAGCTCAACTTACCATTTTTGGGTTTTCACCTTGTTTAACTGGTGCCCACCAAATGAATAATAGACAGAAACGATATGTCAATGTTAAGTGAAAAAAAGACATGGCCATAATAAAAATTAAATAAAGAGTTTTGCAACTCTCCCAATAAAATGATCTTGTCAAGGAAAAAAAGAAATCAGTTATGCCAGTTAGTATCTCTGAGTAAGACAGATGCCAAATGGAGAAGAAGCAGTCGGCTAATCCCCAGGGTTATCATGTCATCTCCGGAGTATAATTTTAGTATGTGATACATAGTCGTTCTGGGTTATATTTAAGTTAGGTGTGGCCCTGATGACTTCAGTTTTTAGTGTTGATGCAGAAAGAAAGCTTTAGCTTTTCTCCATGGGAAAGGATTATTCTTTAGAAGGCTGGCAGTGGTCTCTCTGGTCAAGGGGCTCATCTTTTTGTTAATTGTATGCACTTGGGGATTTCACCTCCTTGGTAAAGCAGCTAAACTCAGCTGTGTGCCTTAAATGAACTGTGTGCCTTGAATTGTTTCACAAACTTAAGAATAACTTAAAAGAACAAATGAACTATTTTTGGATGGCAGAAATGTCTCCTGGGGAAGGTTGGAGAAATTTACATTTATAATTGAGTCTGAATTAAAACTGCTAACTTCTAATATAAAAATGAATCTTTAGGACATTATACTATTACAATTATAGCTGTGCCGAAACCTATAGTACAAAAAAACTGGGTTTTACAGCAGTATCTAAATATTCATATATTTATTGGCTATTAAGATTTTAAAAGGAAAGAAATGCCTAGCATTGCTTTTCAGGGAGTATTTCTTTGAGATGAATAGAATACAGGCATCTTTATGTGATGGTAGAATTCACATCAGTGATTTTCCCTAAAAACATAAAACATAAAATTCTTATTTGACAGGCCAGAGGCCTGGACATTTACTCATTTCAGGCTTTCATTCATTCATTTTTTATCAAATATTTGTCAAGTCCCACATGGAGTTTGTGTGGAAAGTTTCTCATTGGAAGATGAGATTTTGGGTAAAGATGACCAATCTGTTGATAAGCAGTCTCACCCCAGGATCTTTACAAATGAATAGCCAGAGCAGAGATTCCTTCCAGCTGTTTTCAGAAGTTGTGGGTTGAAGATTAAAACATTGCCGATAGTCTATGAAAGGTGTCCGGTGAGGTTGCCAGAAACCTTCACTGAGGCTTATGTTGAGAAAGTAACAAAGGCCCATTTCACGTAGGTTTGTTCTTCTTCCTTTTCATTTTGGGAGTTCTTTCTTTTCCCTCTAGAAAATCTGTTCCAGCGAAGCTCATGTCTTGGCAAGGGTTTTCCTCCTAAAGTCAATCAAACCCTTTCTACCTGTACCTTTCCACTGCCTTTTACAAAGCTCCCTTTACCTGTTTTGACACCACAGTGTTGAACAGGAAACAGCTACTACCTCCTTGTTCTTTCCTCCACCTCCAACCCCCAAACGCCATTGTACCCTAGAGGGTTTGCTGTGCCCTCAGTTTCTAGGGCTTTGGTCTGAAGAAGACAAACCTGCATGTCTTCTTCAGTGTCTGTTTTGTGCCCCAAGGAGTAGAGGTGGTAAATACATTTTCCAAAAACAGTTCTTCCTTTTTTAAAAAATCCTCACCTGAGGATATGTGTGTGGTTTAGGAAGGAGGGGAGAGAGAGAGAGAGAGAGAGAGAGAGAGAGAGAGAGAGAGAGAGAGAGAGAGAGAGAAACATTGATGGATCGATTGCCTCTTCTATCTCCTGTGCATGCACCTGCCCAGGGATTGAACCCGCAACGTTTGGTATACGGGACAATGCTCCAATCAACTCAGCCACCCGGCTAGGGTAGAACAGTTTGCTTTAGGACCCACCTGTAAACTTGGGGGAAAATGTTAACTATTGCATTCATTTTGGTGCATAGGTACGTAGGCTTTTCACAATTAATCTCTCCTCTATGTTCCCAAAGGACTTTTTATTACAGCTAATATAGAACTTATTACATATATTTTAGTTCCGTCTGTATTTCCCATTAAACTGTGAATTCTTTGTGAATAGTCTTATTGTACACCTGGCATATAGTGGGCACTAAAATGTTTGCTATATTTGAATCAGTGCCATACTTTTTGGGCTGTAAGTTTAAATTTCCACAACCTGTTTAATCGAAGTTCCATCATATGAAGATGTCTTTCACATTGGGCTGGTTTTCGATTGTCACAGGAATTAGGAACTTTTCATTTCAGTTTTTATATTTCATTTTGAGTGTCAGAATATTTCAAACTGTTCTGCTCCCGGTAAGGTCAGTAATGCTGAAATTGAATGGACAGGGTCCAGGCTGAGACAGCATCCTGATTCATGCGTGTGGTGTGGGTTTTTTTTTCTTGGCAAAAATTTGCCTCAGGGCAGGAAGGACATTGGAGTTGTTTGAAAGAAGCCAGTGAGCCTGCATGTTGGCGGATAGTTGTTAATAGGTATGACTCAGCTATTGATCAGGTTTGAAGGTAAACAGAAAAACCCGTATTTCTAAAAGGCTGTGCTGTCCTGGTCACATGGAAGGAAGGAAAGCTTGTTCGCTTCTAATTCTGCACAACTTTTTAAAGTAGATAATAGTGGGAAACTTATTTTGAAAAGAAATTTTGCTGTCAGCCAATTATTTCTATCTTTTGTCCAGACCTGCAAGCAAAATTAAATTTGCTTTTTTTCTCAAAGCATGATAGCACTGCTTTGAAGGTGCTAGGTGAGTGAGTGTACACCTTTTTTATAGTCAATTCCTAACCTGAAACAATGAATCGTTAGTGTTAAAAAAGATTAAACTTGCCTGTGAAGTGCTTAGTTTATGAGGATTTTCACAGAGTGGCTTTATAAAAGGAGCGTTTAATGATCTTACCTTTTTAATTATAGGATGCTGGAATATGGTATTTATTTCACAAGGAACCTACTGGGGAGTCCAGTGGATTGCAGCTGTTAACGAAACCAGAACTTACTCCGTTGGGTGTGTTTTATAACAACAGGGTCCATTCAAGCTTTAAGGTAGGTTCCCGAGTTTTAACAGTTAGTACATATGATTTCCAGGGTAAAGGACAGACTACTGTGGTTACAACTGAGAAATGTCCGTTTTTAGATAGACCTTGTCATCAGAGATTCAAAAGCAGACTCCTAGCTCTTGCATATGAAGGCTGTCTATACAGTTTTCTGTTTATACACACAGGAATATACCCTAACATATACATGCATATGCAGTCTGAATAACTCACAGGAATATATGCTAACACACACATGCTCATGCAGTCGGAAGTTATAATAATGGACTTGATTCACGAGTCCTCGTCCTCCTCCTCCCTCCTTCTTTCCAGGCTTTAATGTCATTATATGTGTCTAGGGATGCACACATTCAGCGGTCGCCAACCGGTGGTCTGAAAGGTTGGCAACTGCTGCTTAGATAATGTGCTTCTAAGGATTAAAAAACATATTTTCTCTCTCAGTGCTGATGAAGTGTCCTGTGGGTATTTAATACAAATTATGTAAATAGTGAAGTACTGTTGAAGAATGTTTGACCTAATTTAAAATGATACAGGTCAAGTAAAGGCCATTTAGGAGCTCCAGTTTCCATGGTATTTGGCACTCATCCCTCATCACCAGCTGATAAGTACATCTGGCTCATTTGGTGCTCACAGGCACTTTGATATTTTCGTTGTATGATATGGTGCCCAGATTCTTTATCCTAATGCGGCCCACATCACAGTTCAGTGGATACTTTCCTGTTATGGTACTCAGAGGATCCTTTTTTTTTTTTAATCTGTATTGTTGGAAGTATTACATATGTTCCCTTTTTTCCCTCTTGACCTCTTCTAGCCCACTCCTACCCTCCACCCTAGGCCTTCACCACCCTATTGTCTGTGTCCATGGGTTATGCACACACGCACACACACACACACACACACACACACACACACAGTTCATTGGTTGCTCTCTTCCCACCCACAGAGGTCCCTTTGAAAACCTGAGTGTGTTATAATTTGAAGAGCTTAGAATCACTTGATGAAGACTTGAGAGAGGGAAAAAACTTTACACGGAATTATGATTTTTGTGAGCTGACTCGATGAACGATAATTTTTGGTGAAAGTAGCATTTCAAGGTGGAAGTCTGCGAAAATTTTCTGATTATAGGTGGTATAAAAAAACACCTCATTCCAATTAATTTTTTAACATCATGTATCATGAGGCCATATAGTTTTCTAGTTTGTTAATTAGGTCTAAATAATTAGATCTAAATAATGAGTGTATGATTAGGTTTTAATTTGTTAAATTTGGGACTGACTATCCCAAATCTAGTCCAGGTCAGTCACATCTGTGTGACTGCCTACTGAGTATGATTTGGGTGTTTCAGGGACACATAAATAAAATGTGTTCAAAACTAAAGTCCTTACTTTTATCAGCAGACCCATTCCCATTCGTGTTTCTGTGAATGAAACCACTAGCCACCTAACTGCCCAGACTAAAAACACATGAACCTTAATTAATCCCTCCCCCTCCCTCTTAGACATTTTATTCATTACTAAATGGTGTCAATACTACATCATAAAGAATTTTCACTCTATCCATTGTTCCCTGTTACTATTGCGAGTCTAGGTCATCTTTGTTTCTCTTGTGGGTCACTGGAGTACTGCCATCGTCTTCTACCTTATCTCTTACCTCCTTTCTGGCTCTTTCCAATCTTACCCATCTTGCAGTTGGGGTATTCTTTCTTAAAATGCAGTTGATTATATTGCTTTTATTAAAAGTCCCATTGTCTTGACTCTTTGGTGTATCAACTCTGCATCATCTGGCATTTGTGTCTTTCTCCTTCTTCCTTACCTTTCCTCCCTCCATACATTTCCTGTCAGCCCATCTAAGATTTTGTTGTTGTTGTTGCTCTCGGATGTTCTATGCCCTCTCTCATCATCAGACTTTTTGTATAAACTACTCCCTTGGATACTTTCCTCTGGGTTCTTTAGCTGCTTCCCACCCACTCCCTGCTCTTCATCCCCAACCTATCCTTTGGCATGGTTAATTCCTCCCCATCCTTCAAGTTCAGCTGTAGGACGCCACTTCCTTTCTTATGTGCTGCCAAACATTTCCGTTATCATGTGCTTCTCATATTGGGTTGTAATTGTTCTTAACTGCATGTCTTGCTGCTAGTTTGTGTCGGTAGTTTTGTAGTTAATGTGTAATATAATGCTTGGTGCCTGCCACAAGGTAGGCACTACATAAATATTTGCAAATGACCGAATGAGTTCAATTATTAAAATATCCATGAAAGTAGCTGTTTTCATGATAACCTGTGCTTTGCTGTTTATTCCTTCCTGCTCTTTTTTGTCATTGATGCAGTAATCTAAACCTTATTTTTATGAATCATTATATACATAGCTATAACTTGGGATTTATATTTATTTCGGTCTATTATTATATTTTCCAGGCTGGCTTATTTATTGACAAAGGTGTCAAAACAACCATTGCTAGTGCTGCTGACCCCCGGGAATACCTCTGTTTGGATAACAACGCAAGGTAGAGTGGTCACTGTAAATCACACTCAAGCTTATTTTGCCAAAGCAAAACTTTCTGAGTTAAGCTATTGTGTTCTTTTCTCCAGTAACACATTGAAAATGAAGCTCTCAAGATTTGTAGGAGGGTTTTGGAAAAATATTTATTCTGTTGTCCTAAGTCCTGTGGCAGGGCTTTTTAATGTTATCCCCTTAGAGTTGCAGAAAGAGCAAGAAAAAGAGAGAGATGTTGAAAAAGGGTCCAAATGTGGCCTAAAGTAGAACATGATTCATTGAAATACAAGTTAAGCTTAAATATTTTAGTGTAATCCCTGAAAATCAAGGCATACAGAATTTATGGTCAGTGGTCAAAATGGAACATTGATTGAATCTGTTTCAAAGGGGAAGATCTTAAACGTGATGATCAAGCTAGTTCTGGTTTAGTCATTTGTAGTCTCAGATTCACCTCATAGCTGGGCTCTATGTTATTCTCCTTTATAACCACAGAACGTGGTTGGGATATGGATCAGCCTTTCAACCAAGTTCTTTTACGTGCTGTATATGAGAGCCAAAATAAATAAAATGTCTCCAATAGAAATACGGTTTTCTGACCTGGAGATTATTATGCTAAGCAAAATAAGCCTGTCAGAGAAAGACAAATACCATATGATCTCATTTATATGTGGAATTGAATGAGCAAAATAAACTGATGAATAAAATAGAACCAGAGGCATGGATACATGGAGCAGACCGACAGGTGAGAGGGGAGAGTGAGAGGGGACTGGATAAAAGAAAGGGAAGAGAGTAGCCAAAGAACATGTATGCATAGCCCCTGGACACACATGGCAGAGTGGTGAAGGCCAGGGGAGGGGTGTCAGGGGTGGGTGGAGGTGGACCATGTGGGGGGAGAAGGAGGGACATCTGTAATAGTGTCAACATAAAAATAAAAAATACCCTTTCCATCTTTCTGGAAAAGATGGCAACATAAAGTCATATTCAGTAGGAACTGTGTCGATGTTATTTTTTATACTTCAAGGTGATTGACCAACTTAAGATGTTGAAAGGGTGCTAGGGTCTGTTGCTAGACATTTAAGCAAAAGGGCATCAGGCTTATTATTAGAAGCCACACTGTAGGTCAGAGGGGAGGCGGAGGTCAATGAGGCAATTTAGGTGTGAGGCAGGATGCTTGTGACACAGTGGTAAGGCATGAGTGAGGTCGGGAGAAGCCTGGGGAAAGTATACTTAGAAAAATTACTCATCAGGATTTCTTAAAGGTCAGGTTGAGCCTGACATATTTTAAAGCAATGATTAGACAGCATTTGAGAAGCTGCAAAACTGAGGGCATTATTAAATTAAACATAAGGTACTGATTGATTGATACCTTATAGCTGAACAAGATGTGAAAGTGAAAACGAGAAGAAATAAACTAAAGATGAAAAAGGAGCCCTGCTGGTGTAGCTGGTGGTTGACTGTCCACCTGTGAACTGGGAGGTCACTGTTTGATTCCCGGTTCGATTCCCAGTTGGGGCACATGCCTGGGTTGTAGGCTCGATCCCCAGTGTGGGGTGTGCAGGAAGCAGCCGATCAATGATTCCCTCTCATCATAGATGTTACTGTCTTTCTCTCCCTCTCCCTTCCTCTCTGAAATCAATAAACATATATTAAAAAAAGAAAAAGGAGCAAAGAGATGATGACAAATTATGAAGCAAGAAGGGAATATTGCTTGGCTGGTGTGACTCAGTGGTTGAGTGTTGACCTATGAACCAGGAGGTCAAGGTTTGATTCCTGATCAGAGCACAGGCCTGGGTTGTGGGCTTAATCCCCAGTAGGGGGTGTATAGGAGGCAGCCGATCAATGTTTCTATCTCTCTCTCCCTCTCTGAAATAAATAAAAATATATTTAAAAAAGAAGGGAATATTATTTGACAAAAACAAAGAAATCTTTGCTAGGTGGTCACTGCTACTTTTTTAGTTTGAAAGAGTTTATTATAACGGGTATGTGTTCATTGCTAAGTTAGTATTAATAGAAAAATCCTAAACACAACAAAATTGACTCCCTTCCCTGCCTTAAAAAATGTGTGTATGGGGATGAATGGATGGATGTGGAAATATATTTTAGAATCCATTGATATTTTAATTCGACTTGACAATAAAACAATCTATTCTTAATAGTCCAAGAAGTTTTTTATAGGGTATGTGTATATGATATTATGATAATGGTACTTTTTCCTCTGTTGTCTATTAGTTCTCTTACCAGTTTTTAAATGCATACATTTTTTTCCTTTATTGTTGACACTATTACAGATGTCCCCATTCCTCCCCGTCCCTTTGCCCACCTCCACCCAGCCCCTGTCCCCACTTCCCTCTGGCTATTACCACACTGTTGTCTGTGTCTATTGGTTTGCATACATCTTGGTAAGGAATTAGACTCCATTTGAAAGTTGTTATTGAAAAGAATTGATTATGAAAGAGTGTAACAAGGCATTTGGCAACTGGTGTATACATTTAATTTTGGTTAAGCTAATGTAAAGAATATGTCCAAATGCATTCATGAAGTCCAGACATGAGTAAAAATGATAAAACTCTAATACAAGTGAGTAATAGGCCAGCCAGTGAATTAGACGTTGGGCCCATGGAATCCAGAAAATATTCTGTCTGTTCATCACAGGGGAAGTTGACTCAATAGTTAATCAGATGAGCCTTTCCGTATGTTTTCAAAATGTGAAATTACAGGAATCCAAAGATGGGAAATTTTAACTCAAGAAAATTCTCGGTTTTGAGATTGGGAAATTTCATCGAAAAGTGAAATAGCATGAGAGCCAACAAGTACATTTAAAGCAGAGGACAGTTAAGGGAGAAGGTTGAGAAGGGTGCTGAAAGTTCATAAATGAGGATGATGAGAAATTGGGAACGTTGACTTTTTTGCACACCAAGTTGTGTAGAGGATGAAAAGAAAGGGTTTCCAAGGAAATGGTCAACAATTGATTTATATAGATAGGAATTTCAGAAAAAATGAGATGGCTACAGCAGAGAATCAGATGTTTTATTGGTACTTTTTTTCTTTGGCTTTCTTTTTAGAACATTGCGTAGTTTTCTTTCCAGAATTTTCCCATCTGCTTGACATTATATAATGACTACAAAGCTGTTTGGCAGCAACTACAATGCCAGAAGAGTGGGTGATGGCTCCGAATCAGATATTTTACCCCTTAGATTAGAGTTGTTTAGTGTAAGGGGTCATATACACAATCTAAGGGTGGATATAATGCTTTCCAGACTGGTCTTTCTATAGTCCATTCTCTACAATCCTTGCACCAAGTAGCAGCTAGTGACCAGTTAAAAAAAAAGAAAGAAATCTGGTCATATCACCTTCCTGATTCCATGTTTCTGATGACACTTTTCATCACATCTACCTATATATGTTTCTATCCATTCACTTTATTGAGGTGTGGTTAACAGGACAAAGTTGTGCATATTTAATGTATGTAACTTGCTGAGTTTGGGTATAAGTACACTCCCATGAAATCATGACCACCATCAAGGCCATAAACCTCTCTATTATCTCCCCAAATTTCTTCCTAACTCCTTTATTATTATTACTTCCTTTTTTTTAAAAAATATATTTTTGTTGATTTCAGAGAGGAAGGGAGAGGGAGAGAGATAGAAACATCAGTGATGAGAGAGAATCATGGATCAGCTGTCTCCTGCACGCCTCCTGCTGGGGGTCGAGCCTGCAACCCGGGCATGTGCCCTTGACAGGAACCTTTCAGACCTCAGGCCAACACTCTAGCCATTGAGCCAAACCAACGAGGGCTGTTATTATTATTTCTTTAATTTAAAAATATTTTTTCTAACCACAATACTTATCATAAGATGCTAGTATACTTTCTTAGCAAATTTTATGGGATACAATATAGTATTTTTAGCTATAAGCACTATTCTGTTTGGTAAATCTCTAGAGTTTATTTATTTTGCATAATTAAAACTTTGTACCCTTTGACCATCTCCTCCCTATTTCCTCCTTACCCAGTCTCTGGCAACCACCATTCTACTCTCAGCTTTTCCAGTTGCATTTAGAATAAAGAACTGCATCCTTGCCTGGTGCGTGCCCACCTTTATGTCCTCTCCTACTTTGCTTCTTACTCTCTAGCCAAAGTGATAGTTCCCTAAGCATGCCAAGCTCACTCGTGCCTAAGGGCCTTTGTACTTGCTCTTCTCTGTGCATAGCTCTTCTCCCATCATACACATTTAGTGAGCACCTACTGTGTGCCAGCAACTGGTAGTAGCGTTTGTACAAATGATGATTCTTGATTGTATGAAAAGCTCAACTTGCTAAATTGGTTTTGAAAAGTTGTTTAGTGCTCTGCTGTCTGCCCTCCCACCCCTCTCCTTGCAGCTTTGTAAAACTTAGAAATGATTTTCTAAAAAATAGGTGGCCTTATGGTGTTATTTATTTGAGTTGTTATGGAGGACTAGAGGCCCGATGCATGAATTTGTGTACCAGTGGGGTCTCTTGGCCGGGCCTGCGGGATTGGGCTGAAACTGGCTCTCCAACATCCCCTGAGGGGTCCCAGATTGTGAGAGGGTGCAGGCCAGGCCGAGGGACCCCACCAGTGCACGATTGGGGCCTGGGAGGGACACAGGAGGTTGGCCAGCCGGGGAGGGACCGCGGGAAGGCTCCAGGGCATGTCTGGCCCATCTCGCTCAGTCCCGATAGGCCAGACCCCAGCAGCAAGCTAACCTACTGGTCGGAGCATCTGCCCCTTGGTGGTCAATGCAGGTCATAGTGAGCGGTTGAGCATCCTTAGCATATCATTAGTATATTATGCTTTGATTGGTTGAACAGATGACTGGACGACTGGACACTTAGCATATTAGGCTTTTATTATATAGGATAGTTTTGACACCATTTTTTTTGACCTTTTCATTAAGGTCCTGATAGGTATTTTAGAAGGGAGAAAAAGCAAAGGTACAATTTAGTTTTTATAATTAATAAGTCAATTAAATACAATGTATTTTAAATTTAGGCCTTATTAAGATAGTAAACCCAGTTTTATCTTTATATCTAAGACATATCACCAACATACAACTAAAATAATAGTTTTCAGTTCAAATATATGTGTGTTAAAATATATGAATAATTTATTCAGTAATTATATTAGTATTACAGATCTTAAGAATTCATGAAACTTGCCAGTTTTCCTGGTCTGAGGTTTGTTAGTGTTTACAATGGTCTGCAATAGCCAGTCCATAATATGTTGATTTAAAAAAGTAAGAAGATATGAAGCCAATTCTTATTTACATAAACTTATATAAATAAATGTAATTATTTTTCCCAATATTTAATATACAAGTATTTAAGTTGTATCTTAAGAGATTTTTGGGTTTTTTTTTTGTTTGTTTGTTTTTTACTTCTTTGGTTTTGGTCAAATTTAAACCTTTTTGACACTTAAGTGTGCATTTGTAAATAGTTGATAGCCATTATCTTTTCACTACTTTTTTAAAAAGTCCTTTTTTTTCAATCCCAAGGTTTCGGCCTCATCAGGATGGTGACCCTGAAAAGCCACGTGTTGCTGCTTTAATTGACAGGCTCATTGCTTTTAAAAATAATGACCATGGAGCCTGGGTCCGAGGGGGAGACATTGTCGTCCAGAATTCAGCGTGGGTATTCTCTACAAAGTTATTATCTGGTGGCACTGGTGTATTTATTTTTTAAGGCTATTTTGAAAAACCCAGCAGACTGAAAATACAGTGATAGTTTGTGGATTCATATTATTGTTACTAATAGACAGGACAAGCTCCGAGAAAGTTTGCTAGCATTAACAGACTGCAAATGTTTGGAATCGTCTCATTCGGCTGCTTTTATTGGACCTGAACTTGTCTGGTGACATGAACGTTTTCTGATGAGATTGAACAGAAACCGGGAATTTAACTTTATGTAACAAACAGGGTCTATGTCAGAGAGCTAAATAAAGATTTTGAAACCAGCTGGATTTTTTTCCCCTTCCTCTTGGACACTCCAGGTTTTTTTGATGCTCTCTTACTGCCATTCAAAACAAAAGTTGTAAATTTCACCGTAGTAAGTGTGTTGACTTATGTCTTAACATGACTTGAGGCAGTAAGCATCTCGTTTTTTTCCATCTGTATAATTTTGGAAGTCTGATGTATATTGAGCTAAGATTTGGTGTTCTAGAGTCTAGAAAAACATTGTTTTCTGGCTGGCAGTGACATTAGCTTCTTGGCATTTTATCATCTTGCCTTTTTTCGTGCAAAAAAATGATATTATATTAAATCTGTAGAAATAGCTTGAGTATTAATGTTGAAAAGTTTAGAAGAGACTACCATGATCTAATTGTTTTTAAAAGTAAAATTATAAAAATAACAAGTTCCAGCTAACACTTATATGCTCCTTGCTATGTGCCAGCCATTGTTCTATCAGGGGTGGGGGATGGCTCATGAAGTCATTTGGTTTGGCCCTGCCAACGCATTAGGGGTGAGTTAATTAAATGTTTGACCAAGTATAGCAGGCTCATTTTTAAGTTGATAATTTTGTATGGCCCATGAACGATGTTATAAATATCCAAATGGCCCTTGGGAGAAAAAAGGTTTCCTATCCCTATACCTAAATGGTTGAAATTAGTTAGTATGTGTAATTCTCTTAAGTGTCCTATGAGGCAGGTTGCTAACTTATTATTTTAAGATATAGTTGAGAAAACTGAGGGAGAGTCCAGTTGAGTAACATGCCCAAGGTCACACAGTTAGTCATTGGCAAAGCTGAGATTTGAACCAGGTGCCTTCACTGTGGAGTCTGTGCTTTTAGTTATTGGGAAGTGAAACTTATTTTTGTGGTCTTGAAGAGTAAACATTGGAATCTCTTCTTACATGATGTGGTAAGTTAAAGTCTTATGTCATCTCTTTTTTTCTTACAGATTTGCAGATAATGGAATAGGATTAACCTTTGCCAGGTTTGTAATTACTTTAAAAATACTGCTCTGATTATTTTATTTATTATTTATTTATTCATTTACTTATTACTTCTGATTATTTTAAAGCTGTAGGTAAAGTAACCCTTGATTTTTAAAACTTACTTAATTTTTTTGGATAACAAAAATGCATTTTTAATGCTGGAACTCCACAGAAGGGTAGACTTACGGTCTTTTGCTTGGAAGAAAACCACTTGAGCATTAGATTAAAGATCGTAACAATTATGGGAATAAAAAGGAAGGGAGTAAAAGTTGGGAGCACATTAAATATTTTCTTCCTTCGAAGTTGGTCAAATTTCTCAGTGGTCTTTAGGAACTGGACTTTTTGTGTTAAATATTATTCTCCAGGTCAGTTACTCTCACTGCCATCTTAAATCTTAAACATTAGATTCTAATTGTTGCATTCAGGGCAAGTTTATTCTCTCTGTTCACAGTACTGTTGCTTAAGAATAAAATAATCAGTTGTTGCTGCTAAATTAAATTTCACTTATTTCAACCTAATTTGAAAACCACTCCTTTACAATACAATTAATTTGTATCAATTTATAAGAGGTATGTTCACAGTTTAGAGGTACTTTCTGGTGACTCAGTATGAATTTTTAGCTATTTGAGTTATACCTTGCCTTTATTTGAGGGTCAGTATACATTTTCTAGGACTGTGTGGTTGACGGTTATTTTCATTTTAACAGTGATGGAAGCTTTCCAAGTGATGAAGGTTCTAGCCAGGAGGTATCTGAATCTCTCTTTGTTGGAGAAAGCAGGAATTACGGCTTTCAGGGTGGTCAGAACAAGTATGTAGGCATGGGAGGAATAGACCAGAAGTCTCGGACATTACCCAGGAATAGGTAAGTATTGCTTTGGCAGTGGAGAGTTAAATTGAAATAATAAGTGAAAACCTAATCCTTATGGAAGTTTCTGTAATAATTCCACATGATTGGTTCCCACTCTGATATTTTTCCCACCTTATTTTATTATTATTATAACTGTTATTGTTATCATTTAGTACTTGTGTATTATACTCTAAAATTCTGGAGCATTAATAATAATTCTGGATTTCATTAATAATTTTATGATGAAGAAACCTATCTTTTTTTTTTTTTCATTTCTTAGTTAAGGCTTTATATAAGCTGGTGATTTTTTCCCCCCTTACTTTCTTGAGCCACAGAAAGTTGCCAAACTGTAAACTATGACATTAGGTCAGTTTTCCCTCAAATTGTGATGTTGGTTTTTAGAAATAGCCACTGGAAAAAGGAAATTACCTATTGAAAAGAGTCCTAGGAAATAAGGGTTGATAGATGCCAAAGCTGACTCCAAGCCTCACCACGGCTGCATCATTAAGTGTTTCAGATGTCGAAGGGGAGGCGGGGGTAGACTTTTGGCATGCTTTCTGTCAGAATAATCTGAGTCATTAAAAAAGCACTCAGCACTAGAAAGATTCTTCAGGGCTTTTAGGGAACTATTAACTAATTAATCCATCCTCCGTTCTGAGACACAGTTTATAGTTGTCCTCATCTTACTGGTGAGAAAATGAGCTGGAGAAAAACTAGGGTCAGACTTCGGGAGGCCTCCATTCCCTTCGTTACACATTCTGTGTGGACATTGGGCTGGGTGGGTCAGGGGCATGGGGGGAGTGGGGGCTGGTGGAAGGGCTTTACCAGCAGGGGTGACCTGTGCTCGGCCCCTCTCTCCGTGTGCTTGCTGTTGGAGAAACACGTCAGTTAATGCCACGCTCTGTGCAGAACTCCTGTGAGTGAGACTACGGAAGCTGCTAGGAAAGGAACTTCATGGAATTTTAATAGCTAACATTTATTAAATGCTTATGATGTATCAGGCCCCCTTCTGGGTACTTTATTATTCACTTAATCCTCACAGAGCCCAATGGGATAGGTGTTGTTACCATCCCGCTTTATAAATAACTTAAGAAAAGCAGCTGAGGTGGGATTTCAGCCCTGTGACTTGGGCTTCAGTGCTGTGCTCTTCACATTTAGGCTATAGCTGCCTCTTTTAAGTGTAGATAAAAGAAGAGCCGTATTGGTTGGGGTATGGGCTGCAGTATGATGGCAGCCAAGTCAATTTCATTCTTTTTATTTTACATTGGCCTCCAGTTTTCTTTCAAAATGCTTGTTGCTTCCTTGCTAAGGAAGATTCTCCAGAACAGATTCCTCATTGGTCAATGGATCCAGTTTTTATTTTACTGTGTGTGCACAACCTTTTTTAGGGAAGAGAACCATTTTGGGACATATCCTTAGAGACACATGCAGATGCATAGACGTTAGTAAGGCCCTTTGATTTTGTTGCTAGCATATACTGTAAAACACTGCCAAGTTGTAATCTAATTCGTTGCTGCAGTGCCATCAGAGAATTTAAAAGTGGAGAAAACTAAGGGATACAGAATGTTATGGGTTTTGTACATTAATTATGGTTAATAATATATGATTAAGGAGTCTGTGTTTGAACAGAAAGGAGGACAATGAATAAAACCAATTTCTCAATCTAGCTAGCCTTTTTGACATCAAAAGCCTTTAGGAATTATACTTTCATACTTTTAAGCATATCATTTCACCTTATTACTGTCATTTAGAGGCTTGAGAGGAGGTTCTCTCTGTTTAAGCACAGATTCATTTTTGTTCTCACATTAGAGATTTTGGAACCAAAACTAAAATATGTAAGTTACCAGATAAAAGGTCTTAACTGGTGGACTCAAGGAAGCAAAAGTCGCCTCTTCAGAGCAGCCTCCATTCCCTCTAAGATAGCTTCTCTCCCACCCAACCGAATGTATTACTATGTGTTGTCTCCACAGCACTTATCTGTAATTATCCTTTGTTTTCCTTTTTGCCTTTCCCACTACAGTGTTCATTTCATTTGATCAGGCATCTTGTCTTGGTTACCACGGTATTCTGGAATTGTGTTTTGTGTGTACAGAATAGTCACCTGTCTTTATAAAACAAGTATGTCAGTGAAGTGCTGCTAAGGGGACGGGTCCATGTGCATTAAACAAACTCTTGTTTTCCAACAGGACATTCCCAATTAGAGGCTTTCAGATTTACGATGGGCCCATTCATCTCACCAGGTGCACTTTCAAAAAATATGTGCCAACTCCAGATAGGTATACCAGTGCTATTGGCTTCCTCATGAAGAATCCCTGGCAGATAACCCCCAGAAATAACCTCTCCCTTGTGAAGTTTGGTCCACATGTAAGTATGTCCTTTTGGTTCCTATATAGTTACTGCGATGGGAGGAGGAGGGGTAGCACATCCCCAAAGACAAAGACAGAAACAAAGGATTCGTACCAAGTCTTTATGACTGGGGAGGGGGGGGAATATATGCAAAAGAAAGTCTTAAAATTTATTATTCTTTCTGTCCCGTTGAGTTCAAGGTGAGAATAGAAGTCCCAGGTGACCTGGGGTATTTTTTAACATTCAAGTGATACCTTGGAAAGGAAAATAACCTAAATTGGTGGCAGGGATTGTAGCATCTCTTAAGAACAAGAGGACAAGGTTTGGGGAAATTCAGTGTAATGATCCAAGAAGAGGTTTGCGATCTGCCTGGAATTGTACTTGTCTAGGTCTACTCTGGGGAACTTCAGGAGAAGAAGAGGAATACTGGGTGGTGTGAAACAAGTTGTTTTATTGACAGGCTTTCCTAGCCTCTGGCAGAGGGTGACCTGTGCTTGGCTCCTCTCCCCTGTGCCTGTTGTTGGGAAATATTGAATGTCATTCTCTGCTAGACTCCGTGTAGAACTCCTGTAAGACCATGGAAGCTACTGGGAAAGACACTTCATGGAATTTTAATAGCTGACATTTATTAAATGCTTATGACATAGCAGACCCTGTTCTAAATACTTTATTATTCACACTAAGGAAATACTTAGACTGTGTTTTAACTGGGAAGTAGAAGACATATGAACAAGTAACTAAATCACTTGAAAAAGAAAATGATTAACTAGTTGAAGTTAGAGTTTATAATAGATTTTTATTTAATTAAGATATAATTTACATACAGAAAAATGAACAGATTGTAAATGTAACATTGATAATTTAAAAAAAAAATTATTTATTGCTGACAGTATTACAGATATTCCTTCTCGCCCCCTCTCCCCGCTTTGCTCCCACCACCTGCTTCCTGCCCCAGCCCAGGCCCTTACCACTCTATTGTCTGTGTTCACGGGCAATGTATATATGCATATAAGTTCTTTGGTTAATCTCTTTCCATCCCCTAAAGTTTATAATTTTTAACAAATGTGTATGACTGCTTAATTCCCTTTCCCACAGTTCTAATTTTTCTTATTGCAGATTAGTTTTGTCTGGAGAGCAGGTAATAGTTTTAACTGGAAGAAAGGGAAACCACCAAAGATGAAATTTCACATTTGCTGCTTGACCTCCACAAGGCTTTGGAAAAATGTTCCCCCTAGGCATGTCATAACTAATGGACATCTTTGATTGACTGGGTGCCTTGATTGACAACTATGAACTGTCAGGGCTGTTTTAATCTCCAAGCAGATGGAATGGATATGCAGGAGGATCCTTGCAGGGGGTGCTGACTAAGACGGCAGGAGTCCTCATTTGGTGAATTCCTTGTTTTTCACTGCCCTCAGGTCTCTCTGAATGTCTTCTTTGGAAAGCCTGGCCCCTGGTTTGAAGATTGTGAGCTGGATGGTGACAAGAACTCCATATTCCACGACACTGATGGCTCTGTGACAGGATACAAGGACGCTTACGTGGGAAGAATTGACAACTACCTGATCCGCCATCCTAGCTGTGTGAACGTTACCAAATGGAACGCGGTGATCTGCAGTGGGAGCTACGCCCAGGTAGGCCAGGATGCGTTAGGATGCCTGCGTCCTTGCCAGCTCCTGACATCACCGCTTCTGTGAGGAGTGCTCTTCAGCGTGATTGACACTCTCCAAAGCATGATTTTCTTTAGAAAAAAACAGCAAAAGAGCCAGCTGGTATTGCTCAGTGGTTGAGCATCAACCTGTGAACCTGGAGGTCATCGTTCAATTCCCAGTCAGGGCACATGCCCAGGTTGCCGGCTCGGTTCCCAGAAGGGGCGTGCAGGAGTCAGGATCAATGATTCTCTCTCATCATATGCTTCTATCTCTCTCTTCCTCTCCCTTCCTCTCTGAAATCAATAAAAATACATTTTTTAAAAAAGTGAAAGAAAAAAATTCAGTAGGAACCATGGGCTAATAGAATTTTATTTCAAGGCCCCCCCCCCCCCCTCAAACCAACGTGGAAATATGAGTCCAAGAGGGGTGAGGGGATTTGCCCTTGGTTAAATATGGGTGGGATGTAGCTGGGGTGAGAACCTATCTTTCCCGAGTCTTAGGCCAGGCTTTTTGCCATGCTACTGCTCTGCCCCAGAGAGGGAGCTTTATTTCCTTTCAGGGTTATTATCTCTACTAAATATGGGAATCCGACTTGTGGGGCAAGAATATCAGTATTGCATGGAAAGTGAGATGTTTCCAGAGACAGAGCTAGGAATTGGAAATGAGTGGACAAGGAGACATTCAAGGAAATTCTTTGAATTATATTACGACATAATGTTTATGAAAATATGAAAGGGATGATATAGACCGTGAAACACTTCTTTGGGAACATTAAGCTAGTGTGCATTTATTAACTGGGTGCCCAGTAGAAGAGGATGGATTAATTTGGGAGGTAGTACGTTCAGAGCACAGATACTTGAGCCAGACTGCCTGGATTTGAATCCTGGCTTCATTTTTCCTTAAATATGAGTTGAGCAAGTTAATAACCACTCTGTTCCTGGGCACAATGAGGATAATGCTGGTTCCTCTCATACGAGGCTGGTGAGAAGACAGAATGCACGGATATACGTAAAGCATTTAGCCCATGGCTTCGCACATGGTATAGTGTTTGCTGCAATTAGTATTATTTGAGGAGCAGAGCTCTAAGTTGCAACAATTATTTTAATAGTGATATTTGGGTAGATAGAGAGGTTGCAGATGGGGGTGTCAGTTGCCCAGAATTTTGAAGGAAGCAGTTTTATTTCCATATTTTATATAATTAAGTGGTAAGATTTAACACTAGACAGTCGAGGGAGATAAAAGATAAAGGAGAAGGGGAATTAAGAGCATATACAGGAGAATTAGGGAAGAGCGAGGGACCTTCCAGGGGGCATTGGGCTCTGATAGTCCCAAAGCAGGAAAGAAGCCTGCCTGGTTGGTTTGCTGCTAAATGCTCGTATTTATAGGGAGGGCTCTTCTCGGGGAAGGACCAGCCAGTGGTGAGGGCCCTTCCCGAGCTCTGGCTACTCTGCCTGTCAAGGGTGTGCTCATGGGTTCCTGCATTTCAACTTCTGAGGCTACTGTGGTTCCTGCCACTGAAACCTAGAGTGGGAGCTGCTTGGAGCAGAATTCTTCATTGCTCTTCTGATTTTGAATCATGACTGCTGAAGAATGCTATGTTCTTAAGTTAAAAAACAAACACTTTACAAAGATTTTTATCTATAGCTAAGACAAAGGATTTAAGAAGGATAAAGACTAGAGAGATTTTTCTGGTTTATTTTAATATAATATTAGCTTCATTGTTGTGGGCTTTCTTATTCCCATTTATTTTAATCATAATCATCCCCTAAAATTAAGTTGAGTCATCAATACCCAGGAAGTGATAGAAATTCTAGAATTAAAATAACACAAAAACAAAAAGATTTTAGTCCTTTTGTAGCTTCAGTGTTAAATTTCTTGCAAGCCATGTATATGTAAGGTTGCATTTGTGAGTCTGTCTGAAAATGGGGTGTGCTCACTAATGAAAACTTTGTATTTTAAAATTACTATAAATGGGTCTATAAACTCTTTGGTTTATGATGTAGTTGAGACTTGAACCTGATTCTTCTATCTTACAAATCAGGGTAGTAATTCTATTTTATTTGAAGATGAAGAAAGAAACAAGTCATCTAATACTTCCCAGGAGGCTCTGGGATGATGGGACTACAGGTTAGAAATTTTCTCCTGAGAATTTGGAATTGGGGCTGGGAGCTCAGATCTGCAGCCATTTGTTGTTACTGAGCTGATGGATAATACTCTGTGTTTATAGGCAAAAGACAGAAGCAACTGGACCTCAAGGCAGAACAAACTTTATTTAGCTATTTGTAAATTTATATTAATTGAATATCTGCTCTTTGCTACCTATTCTATGTAAACTATATTTAATTCTATATAATATAAACATTTTAGTTATATATAATTTAAACCTTTAAGTGGTTTTAGTAGATAAGAGGACTATACTGAAGTAGTCAAACATGAATGAGAGTTTAGAAGATTTTCTGCTTCAAAAGATTTATAATTGAGGAATCAGTTATGGACAAAACTGTAGAAATGACCAAAAGAGAAAAACAGAGAGCAGTATTGTGGATTAAATACAATATTCTGCAGATGTTCTAATACTTATGGGGAAATCTGTTATAGGATACTCGTTTATTTGTTTTTTGGGGGGTTTTTTGTTTCTTTTTTTTAAGAGTGAGAGTAAGGGAGAGGGAGAGAGAGGGGGGAGAGAGAGAGAGAGAGAGAGAGAGAGAGAGAGAGAGAGAGAGAGAGAGAGATGTCATGTGAAAGTGGAACATCTATCGGCTGCTTCCTGCACGCCCCCTACCAGGAATCGACACCAAAACCCGGACCTGTGCCCTGACCCGGGATTAAGCAGGCAACCTCTTGGTGTACAGGACAATGCCCAATCAACTGAGCCACACTGGCCAGAGCAATTCTCATTTGTTTTAGGAAATTGTTCGGAGATTTGTTTTGAGGGAAGGCTTTGTTTTGGCAAGGAGCTCATGCCACTGGAACAAATTCAGGACTTTCAAATTTGTCTCGGTTTAAGATGTTTTTCCAGTTTTTGCAGAGTGCTTTATAACCCTTTTTCCTTTGAAGGGGTGAAAAATGACTTCTTGGGCTGATGTAGGTCATGGAAAATTGCAAGCCCAAACTCTAAGGTATTTACATTTTCCCTCTCTTGCGTTCGAGGAAAGTCTCTCAGATTTGAGTAGAGAGTATCCATTTTCACATTAATTGACTAATTTCTTATATGTGCATTCTTCAGATTGAGGGATTTTTTTGGACAGGCTGCATAAGCCACAAAGGTTTTATATTCTGATGAATAAGCTGGCCTGTTGTGGTGGAAGAGATGATGACGGTCTTGGCTAGCAGAACACATGGTCTGTTTTTGCCATTTCAGTTTAAGCAAACTTCATTGTATGTGTGGCTTAAGATGAAGTTGGCTACCCCTCATTTAGTCTGGCATAGATCACAGAATCTCTCTCTCGAAACTAGAGACACTTGGCTTTGTGCTGGAAATGTTTGTTTGGCTCTCTAAGTGTTCATGCTCTTCCCCATGATTCTTAATTTATTTTTTGAAGGTCTATGTGCAGACATGGAGCACTCAGAATCTGACAATGACCATCACACGAGATGAGTACCCATCCTACCCGATGGTGCTTCGGGGCATCAACCAGAAGGCAGCCTTTCCCCAGTACCAGCCGGTGATCATGCTGGAGAAGGGCTACACCATCCACTGGAACGGGCCAGCGCCGAAGACTGTATTTCTATACCTCATAAATTTCAACAAGTATGTTCCCATTACTGTTACTTCACATAGCTCAGCAAGTAGGAATCTAGTGGAGAAAAATAGTAACACACCACCTTTGTAGCAAGTAAGGATGCCGATATGTTGTACTACATTTCTCTTGTGGGGAGGCTGTATATTTTAGGTGGATGGAATCAGGAGATTACACAAATTGAATCCTTTCATTTTTTTTTCTTTTTTTAAAGTTTTTTTTTATTGATTTCAGAGAGGAAAGGAGAGAGCTAGAGAGATAGAAACATCAAAGATGAGAGAGAATCATTGATTGGCTGCCTCCTGCACATCCCCTCCTGGGAGGGATCGAGCCCGCAATCCGGGCATGTGCCCTTGGCCGGAATCGAACCTGGGACCCTTTAGTCCACAAGCCAACGCGCTATCCACTGAGCCAAACTGGCTAGGGTGAACCCTTTCATTTTGAAAGCATTTCTGTTTCTCTGCAGACAGGGTATTGTGTGCTGAAAGCCATTTAACAATAGGTTCTCATATTGTCTGCTGAATACTTTAAGGTCTATGTGTTGTTTCAACTGAGCACTGGGTTACCTAGGAAAGAAAAAGGTTTTTGAGGCCAAGGTTAGATTTGACAGAAGAGAGAGGTGTGGTTGATCAGTAATGTCTGCTATGGGTAAAAGGTGGAAGAGTAGTGGCATGAATGCCAGGCATTTGCCACTCCTGCCTGATTTCTGTCACTTCTTGGTTTCCCAGTTGTCTGTCCTAATAATACTATTTACAGTCAAAGGCTCTATTTGTACATTAATTTATTCAAGCATTTACTGTTTACCAGAAAATGGTGAGGGAGAAAAGTACTTGCCCTCCAGGGGCTCGCAGTATACAGGTAGAAAAAAAACCTCAAGAAAATCAATAAACTGATACTGTTTTTTAGTGGGCAAATAATAGGGCACCTAATTCTAGCCTTGAGGAGCTGGGCCAGGCTGTGCTGAGAGAGCGATACTAAATGATCTGTCTTGTTACACAAGCAACAGATTGGGGAAGGGCTATCTCTGTTTGGGGACTGATGGATGCAGTGCCCTGGGAGTGTAGGGCGTGACAGGAGATGAAACCAGGAAGGAGTGATGGGCCTAGAAGGGCAGAGTGAAATCAGTCTAGACATGTGTGGTGGTTAACCAATGGGACTCCATGAAACTGTTCAGATATATACCTGGAAAACTGACATGGCTTATTCACCTGACTGGTCATAAAGTGCTAACTTTTCTGAACACTCTTAAAACACACAACTGAAACGAAGAGGTGGACATAGAACATGCAGTTCTAAGTAGGTCACTTCCAAGGACTGGAGAACCTGGTGGATGCTCTTATTCTGAGCTGTGAAGTTTCTGGCACAAGTCCCACACGGAACCCGTACTGTTTTCCTGTGACATTTGTTGCTGCTTCTCTATGCCTTGCTGGAGAGTTGCACCTCTACCTATTGAGTCAACCAAGGACTCATCCTTATCTCTTCCTTTTCCCTTATTTCTTCATCTCAGCAGTGACCAAACCCTGTCAGTTCTGTCTGTAATGCTGTTGATAGCGCTCCACTTTTTTCTACCTCCACTGTTTGTGGTTGAGTTTAGGCCATTATCATCTCTTGTCTGGGTCCTGCTGGGTCTCCCCACCTCCAATCCTTAGTCCACATTGTGTCCAGGGTGAGGTTTTTGAAAGCCAGTCTGGTGTTATCACTCCCATCAGTGAGCTGCAGACAGTCAAAGAAACAAATGAGGTTGGAGAGGACTTACAAGAAATAGAAAAAACTTGTATCTGGCAGGTTGTGAATTTTAGGCGAGATACTATAGTCAAATGCTATGTAGGGTTCTGGTCAGTGTCATGCGTAACTTTTAAATAAATACCAAGTAAAAACATTATAAAGTGAAAAAAAGACTGAACCCAGAAGTTACAAAAATCCACATGGGCTTGGAGTCCAGTCAGACTTTCCTTGTTTAATTAGCTGAAAGTTTGCAAAAATTACATCATGGGCAAGAGGAAGAGATGGACAATCTTATTTTCCAAATTTAGTATAATTATAGAGAGGTCATAGATTTTGTCACTTTAAAGGTTATAAAAGCTGGACTTATTCATTAAACAAAATATGGAAAATACAGAAAAACATAAAGAAAATTGAAATAACCTATAATTTTCTTAAACAGGGTGAGGCATTATAAACATTTATAGTGTTCTCTCTCTGCCCTCAAGTATTTTCTGAGCATATAGAGATAATCAAAATTTATTTAACTACTCCCTTTCCCCATAGATATTTAGACTGTTTTTCTCTTGCCCACTCCCCCTTTACTATTATAGATATACCACAGAGAACATGTTGCTTTAATGCATTTTGGTCTGCATTTCTAATTATTCTTTAGTGGTTTTAGTGGGTGAAACTTTTGTGAACAATTTTAAGGCCCTGTTACTTATTGTTTAAAAATTCTTTTAAATGATTGAAAAGTTCTGGAAATGGGTAGTGGTGATGGTTGCACAACTTTTGAATATACTTAATGCCTCTGAACTGTAGAGTTAAAAATAGCTAAAATGGCCCTGACCGGTTTGGCTCAGTGGATAGAGCGTCAGCCTGCGGACTCAAGGGTCCCAGGTTCGATTCCAGTCAAGGGCATGTACCTTGGTTGCGGGCACATCCCCAGTAGGGAGTGTGCAGGAGGCCGCTGATCGATGTTTCTAACTCTCTATCCCTCTCCCTTCCTCTCTGTAAAAAATCAATAAAATATATATTTTTAAAAATAGCTAAAATGGAAAATTTTATATGGTGCATATTTTACCACAATTAGAAAATGCCCCCCCCCCCCAAAAGCAAATGATAAACAATATTAATTTTATGTCTAAGGATTTTTAACTAAGAAAAAAACATGGTGGCAAATTGGTCGTATACATCAAAGGTTTAAAAATATACATACTTTTGCCCTGGCTGATGTGGATCAGTTGGTTGGAACATTATCCTGTGAGCTGAAGGGTTGTGGGTTTGATTTCCAGTCAGGGCACATGCATGTGGTTCAGTCCCTGGTTGGGATGCATGTGGGAGGCAGCTGATTGTTTTTTCGCTCTCCCTCTCTCTTCCTCTCTCTCTAAAGTCAATAAAAACGTATCCTCGGGTGAGGATTAAAAAAAGAAAAGAAATAGACATACTTTTATATTTAGAAATTTTATCACTAAGTACTTATCCTACCTAATGTAGTAATAAAAGATAAAAATGTATTTATGGACAAAAAATTCTTTGGAAAGATTTTACTAGTGTGTACTTCTACTGTCAGGCTAGTGGTGTTTCATCCACCTTACTACATGTCCAGCCATCTCACTTAATTTTATTATCCACTCACAGTGTCAAAGTCTACCTTATCCAACTTCTATTCACATTCCTAGAAGTCCTGTTGAAACCAAGACGTTTCTATAAGCCATGCGATTGTTGTGAAAATATTGATAAGAGAAACTGGGGAAACATTTAAAGGTGGATGATTTATTAGCATGTCAGGGCTCAGGACTTCTATCGTTAGTGGCTCAGTGCACAGCAAACATTTCAGGAGGAGAAAATCATGGCTAGTGTTTATACTAGTGTATGCTGTAATGCCCCAAGTATATTGGCTCAAATGTGAATTCATGTTTTAATGTTCTTTTCTTGGTAGGAATGACTGGATTCGAGTTGGCCTCTGCTATCCATCAAACACAATTTTTCAGATTACTTTTGGCTTTTTACAGCGGCATAATGGCTCGTTATCCAAAATGGAAGATTATGAGCCTGTGAACTCACTGGAAGAATTGCAGAGGAAGCAGTCTGAGAGGAAATTCTATTTTGACTCCGGCACGGGGTAATTCAGTGCGTCCAGCAAATGAGAATTATTGCTGTTTTTCTTTAATGGAGAAATTACTGGTTCTTCAGCCTAACTAAGAATAGACTGTGATGTGATGGCTCTTTAGACAAGCAGCTGATGTGGGTAATTCTCTGCTCATCGCTATTAGAGGCTTAGAGAACTAGAATGACTCATAATTATAGTTGGCTGTAGGAACTGAGTGAAGATGTTTGTCGTATACCTATTAAGGCAATTTAGAAAGAGAAATTATCCTTGTCGATAAAGAACCAGTAGGCCCAATAGAAACTTAAACTAATTTCTTTCCTATAACAACTCTTTAAGATGATTATTTGCATATGATATAGTTCATATTTCAGTGAAAGCTCGTTTTTCTTTTCCTTAAAGCTCTCTCTCTCTCAAGTTGACCTTGAGTTTTTAAAAATCACTGTATAACCGTGGCGTGTTTGCTTTCAACTTTCTCTAGGCTGCATCTTTCCACTTTTTAATTCTAATCCTGTTCACCTGGGGTCCTGTTGGCTTTGTCTGCTCTTATCCAGTTACAGTCTCTCAGCCTTTGGGTGATGGTAGGCTCGATCTCCTGTACTCTTCCAGCAACTAGCATGCTCCTTAGCCATTCCTTAAGCTGATATTCCTCCTATGCCATTGTCTAGGCACCTGAGTAAAGACACTAATGTAAATAAGATGCATTTCTCCTGTGAATGCACAGTCCATTGAAGATATGGACATGTAAAGCAGGTCATTGGAGAGTGAAGAATTTAAGTGCTAAAAGCCCTGTGGTGGGATAGTCAGTGTGCCCTTTGAGGTGACCCAGAAGTTCAGCCTAAGGTAACCAGTGACATCCCAAGAGCGTGACTCTGGGACAGACTCCTGAATGAGCAGGAGGAGATGGACAAAGAGATGGGTGAAGGACAGTGTGGATGGATGCATGGAGGCATGGAAGAACGTAGCATGGCATGTTTGGGGGAAGACAAAGGTTCAAACTGGGGTGAGGGTGGCAAGTTTGATTTGGGGGAACAAGGTGGGGGGTTCAGGCAAGTACCTTGTTAGCCTTTGAATGAGATGCAACTTGTTTGCCCTCCAGCAGTCAGTGTGGTCAGCTTAAATCTTTTTTATTTTTTATTTTTTTATCATAGTTATCTTTGATTTTCAGTTTCTAATTAGACTTAACCTGCTTGGACTTTTACTCTCTACATGACAGAACTTCCACATTTCCAGTTGACTTTTCACAAAAATGAACAGAACAACCGAATTTGTAAGGACATTCTGGTGATCACACATTAATGATTACATGTGTAAAAAGGTGGGAAATGTGTCATCATCTGGGCCTAGAATCCCTCGGCCTTTAGGGTTTTAATTTTTTTTAATTACATTTATTTTGATGATTTTAATTGTCAAAAGGTCCAGGCTAACCAGGCTTGTATCATTCCTTACATATATAGGCTAAAATTACTGGATGTTGGGACAATGGCTGATTTTTACCTCATAATTGCTACTTGACCTCATATTAAAATGAGAATTTTTGATTCCAGTAATTGATTACATTTGATCAAACCTTTAGAACATTGACTTCCTTTGCTTTAGAAGGACTAGGTTTGCTGACAGATGTTGGACTGCTGCCTAGAACTTACTTTTCCATTCATCTTGGCAGTAGGAGGATAATTCAGAGTCGGTGGACTGCTCATTTCATTTGATTTTGGCCAAAGTACAGACAGAAGGACCTCAGGCCCATCTGCTCTTAGTAAACGTCGCAGGAATTGATTTGAAACCATTGCTTTTTGAATTGATTTTAAGCCAAACGAAACACAGTTGCTGTTCTTGTTCAAATTTTGTGCCATAAACCAAAATGATTTATAAACCAAAAAAAAAGAAAAAGAAAAAAAACCATGCTGATTTACCAAATTCTAAACTCAATGCAAGTATAAAGTTTTCCAAGGGATCCTTGAGCCAAGCCAAATTCCATCCTCCCAAATCACCTGTTGAACTTAATTCAAACCAGAAATCAACTTTCATATCTTCTACAACGATGGAATCAGGCTATCAAAATATTTTCTGAAGGAGTATTGAATTTGACTTAGGGGCCTAGGAGGATAGAAAGGAAAGAGAAACAACTTTATTAGTTTCATAATGTAGATTTCTTTTAGGGACTATTTACCTTATTAGAGGAATATACCTTTCGGCCATGAGTTCATTTGAGGAGTTTGTGTAAGTTTTCGAGAGGCAGTCTAACACCCAGTGGGTTGCGTTCTGTTTTGTACAGGTTGCTGTTCTTGTATCTCAAAGCCCAAGGCCGCAGGGATGGCCACAGTTACTGTTCATCTCAGGGATGCGAAAGAGTCAGGATCCAGGCGGCAACAGACTCAAAAGAGACCAGTAACTGCATGGCCAAAGCATATCCCCAGTATTACAGGAAGCCGTCAGCCCTCAAGCGGATGCCGGCCATGCTCACGAAACCCTGTCAAGGCTGCGGGACCCGCCAGGTAAACGAGTGGGCTGTGGCCTGAAACAAGGTCGGAAGGTTCCTTGCAGTAGGCGCATTTTGGGGGGAAACATCTACATTGCCAATTTGTCAGTGTTGCATGGTTTCTCCTGAACTTTGGCCCAGTATAGAATGTGATGCTCATAAGAAGCAACCTTGTCCAAATTATAATAAAGATACTTTCCTTCTCTGATACGGCAGTTTACCCTGGGTGACTGGATTTACTGGCTGTCATCTTCTCTTTCTCAGATGTGATTCTGCTGCACTGTTGTTTCTGGGTTTACATGTCAGTGATGTAGAAAATACTTTGTTTTATTGGCAGTGTGAAATTTCTCTTCTGAAAATGCAACTCCTGGAAATTGTTTTCTTTTTTGAAGGTGGAGAGCTCCTCTCTCCACCCCCCCCCCACTTCATTTTGAAGCAGATGCTATTTATTTGCCTGTAATTAAAAGGATAAGCTGGCTTTAGTTAGTTAGAAATGAAATACTTCTCCTGAAATATTTGTAATTAGCTGTTCTTCTTTTGGATCTTGAAAAAGCATTGCAATGGAAGGAAACCCAAAAATCAGGCACAGTGTTCCTTCCAAAGGAAGTCAGATCAATTCCAAGTACAAAAGAGGTGTAGCATTAATACTTAATCTTTATATAAACGAATATGGGTTAAGGGAAATGATTCTCAAAGTGTGGACCCCTAACCAGCAGCAACAGCAGCACCAGGGGACTTGTGAGAAATTGGAATTCCTGAGCCCAATTCCAGCCCTGCTCAACCAGAAATTCTGGGAGCAGGACCTGGCCGTCTGGGCGTTAACAAGCCCAGCAGGGGATTCTGATGTGTGTCCACATTTCACTGGGCTAGAGAATGTTTTTAAAAGCAAGAATTGCCACAGAAATACATACTGCGCTTAGACCTGATAATGCACAAGGCCACTAAAGGTTTTCAAACTTCTCATCTGTACTCTCCTCAGTCCAGGGGTGACTAAGTCCCAGTTCAGAATACTGGTCTGAAAAGGATCTTTAAACAGACTTGTGACTGTGTTTGCATAAAATGTTTACAAAGATGTACATACAAAATACTTTTATTTAGTCATTTGTAGAATTGACTTTATTAACAAGATCACAATTATTTGAAACGGTTGTTGTTCCAGAAAATGAGGAACAAAATCTTCTCATATTAAGCATGTATCAAAAGGTAGAATTCTCGGTTATGAAATAAGGTATAAAAGTTCAGGAAAACACTAGTTTGCCCTGGCTGGTGTGGGCTCAGTTGCTTGAGTGTCATCCCTACCCCAAAAGGTTGTTGGTTGGATTTCCACTCAGGGCATGTGCCCGGGTTGTGGGCTCGATTCCCGGGGTGTACAGGAGGCAGCTGATTGATACTGTCACTCACATCGATATTTCTCTCCTCCCTTTCTCTCTCTCTAAAAATCAATAAAAATCATTTAAAGCTAAACAACTAATTTGTTATAATTGAGTTTGTTTTGAGGCATCCTTTTGGAGGCAGATGCAGTTGACAAAATATGGCACTTTTTCCCTGTTTAGGTGGTGTTTACTAGTGATCCTCATAAAAGCTACCTCCCCGTGCAATTCCAGTCACCCAGTAAAGTGGAGACTCAGCGCGGAGACCCGTCTGTCATCTCTGTAAGTACCATCTGGCGTGTCCACTACTTCAGCTCCTCACTTTTATGTTTCACCCCGGTGACATCAATTATTTTTGGCAACAGTCACTTGTTTGTGACCACATTTTGATTATTGGTGGCAAGCCATACAATAGAGTTATAAATATCTCTTAAACATTTATGTTTCTAGGTAAATATATTTTTAAAAACTTTGTTTATCGATAACTTTTAGGTAAATGTTAAACTGTTCACATTACTCTTCATTCATTAATAGTGTTACAGGCGACCCGGATTTCATTTTTATAAGCGAAAAGGCATCTTGGGTTAAAAAATAATTGCCACAGGCAGTCAAAATGTAGAAAAACGGTGATTAACCTTGGTTTTTGAAACGTAAAAGGAACTTTCAAGTTGCTTGTTTAAAATGTGAGCAATGAGTTTTAAAATTTTTCCTCGGCCTTTTAGTTTGAGGTTCCCTGGCTCCCAGTTTTCCGATGAGGAAAGTGAAGTTGCAAAGTGTCGGTCGTCTTTCCTAAGTGGGGTAATAGGAGCACAGGCCTGAGCCTCAGTGTCAGCATTAGAATTTGGGCAAAGAGCCAGGCCAGCCAGTGCTAACCAGCTCTTGGCAGGTGGCCTGTCCAAATTCCGGCTGACTTGAGTGCCACCATATAAAGAGCTCTTTGGGGAGCAGATATCTAGCCATCCAGCTATTTCCAGCCAGGGCCTGGGCCTGGTCTCACGTGGTCTTTTTAGGAGCTCTGTTTTTTTTTTTTTTAAAGTGGTGGACAACACATTCACAAATCCACATAAATGTGGAAAAAATTCAACCTTACTCTTTATTTTGTTCTCAGGTTTTCATTGTGTTAATATATACATGTAACATAAAATTCACCATCTTCATCTTTGTTAAGTGTGCAGTTCAGTGGTATGAAATATATTCATATTGTGCAACCATCACTACTCTCCGTCTCCAGAACATAAATTTGACTTTTTGACAACGCGGAGTTAAGAATATTCCCACCGAAGGGGAGGGTGAAATGGGGAGTATTTTTTAATCAACAGGCAATAAAGTTTCAGTTGAGTAAGATGTTTAAGCGCTCGAGTTCCAGCTTGGTGTCTGGAGGGACTCAGTTGTATAAAGGAAGCAAGAGCTGGGTGCAATACTAGATCACTAGATAAAAATTTTGAAATTACAGTATAGTTGACGTACAACATTATGTTAGTTTCAGGTATACAGCATAGTGATTCTACATTTATATACCTTATGATGTGATCACTACGATATATCTAGTAATCATGTCACTGAACAATATATTATTGACTATATTCCCTGTGCTATACACTCACCAGATAATTAAAGAATATATTGTTTTTCCCAAAAAACCTCATACAGGCTATGCCACAGGCTCTGAAGACACTGTTTCACTCTATTGCTGCACACATTAGGTGCCTGGGACCCTAGAAAAGTCACAGGACATGTCATATTTTTTGTCATATTTACCAGTAGTACTTTCCACATGTGTTTCCTGAAGAGCCTTTGCTAGGACATGGCATTGCTTTATTTGTTTTTTTATGGAAAATGTTATATTTCCTTTAAGCATTAGGTTTTGGGGGAGGGACAGTTTGAGTGTGTTGAAGATCATTTTATATTTTTCCCCAAAATGTATTTCAATTTTAAGTATTCAGATTTTTATTTTTATGAAATAAATAAATGCCTCTTATTGCATTTTTTAAAATTTAATTTAAAATTTTCCATCACCATTTATACCCTCCATGCCCTCTGCTACCTCCACCCCTCCCCCTCCCACCACACACACACAATCACCACACTGTTGTCCATGTCAGATTTTTAAAAATAAGAGAATCACTTCCAGTCTTTCCAAATCTAAAGTGGTACTTAATTTACCTCAAGCATTTCCAGAACCATCCTCTGGATTAGATAAATTTAAACACAGCTAAAAGGCCATTTTGCTTTCTGGCAGATCAATAGTGATTAGAAATGAAATTTAAATGTAATTTCTCCCATCGAGGATAAAGGATAGTGGTGACTGTATTTCTCCTTTATTAGTTTTTAGCATAGTTTATAATTTTATAAATTTTAAACAGAAACAGTGTGCTTAATTCAGTATTGAATCATTTTTCAGTCTACATCTTTTTATTCCTTTCTGGCTGAGGAATGAATGACTTTGGATGTGTTTAGAGTTTGTTCATTTTTTTTTTTTTTTTTTTTTTGGAAAAGGTATCAAACCATTCATTTAAAGGGGATGACTGGAAATTATACAGTATAGTAATATACTTGTGGCTTAAAAACTGGTAAAATTACCATATTTCCACTTTGATTTCAAAGGAGATGAAACGATGGAGATGAGGCAATCTAGCTCCTCTGATGTTCTAAACCTGAACTCCATTGCGGTGGGCGGGGGTGGGGTGGTGGGTGCGGGGGGGCGGAGTGTAGATTTTTTTCTGAATCAGTGTGACAGTAAGTGAGCTGGGCTGCAGTATAGAGGCTGCCACCTGATTGCTGAGTTAGAAAGCTGTGACCCCAATGGGAGAGTATGTGTGTAAGAATGAAGGTGTTGGCCCATGCCCGATCAGGACACATGCCCAGGTTGCAGGCTTGATCCCCAGTAGGGGGTATGTAGGAGGCAGTTGATCAATGATTTTCCCTCATCGTTGATGTTTTTATCTCTCTCTCCCTCTCCCTTCCTCTCTGAAATCAATAAATATATATTAAAAAAAAAAAAAAGAATGAAGACCTTGAACCTGAAGAGAGAGTCCCCCTGCTCAGCCGAGTGCGGGCTGCCACGCTGTGCTCAGAGCCTCTTATTCAGTCTGTAAAGTCCAGTCAAGGCAAAGTCAGTGAGCACACAGCACCATTTCCAATATCAGCAGAGAAAGAGTAAATGGCACCTACCTTCTGAATCCTGGTGTAATTTGATTTGCGGGTTTAGAAGACAGAGGGATGGGCTGGAGAGAGGAGTCCTTCCAGAGATATTGAAATGGTGACGACAGCAGACGATGTTTCTGTATCCTCAGGTCAACGGCACCGACTTTGCCTTCCGAAGTGCGGGTGTCTTTCTCCTCATCGTGGATGCCTGCAGCGTCCCCTTCCGGTTGATGGAAAAAAAGTTTTTCTCTCTTGCTGATGTCAGCCTCATGGGAGAGTATTTAAAAACAGGCATCCCTCCAAGGTAGGTGAGACTTGCTCCACAGTGGGACAGCCACATGCGCGGTGACACCTGCTTCACCCTGAGCTTTGGTTTGTTTACCTGCCCTTATAACTGTGGGCATTTGGGACTCTTGAAAGGTTTTTATTCCTTTTTCATCTCAGACGGATGCCTGTGTGGTCTGAGCTGCTTGTCATTGTAAACCTCGGCTTCTCCATAGCGGGACTTAGCCCGCCTTGGGTGGCTCAGTGGTTGAGCGTTGACCCAGGAGGTCACGGCTCGATTCCTGGTCAGGGCACATGCCTGGGTGGCAGGCTCAATCCCCAGTGGGAAGATCTCTCATCATTGATGTTTCTATCTCTCTCTTCTTCTTCCTTCTGCTCTGAAATAAAAAACAAAATATAATGGGAACTTGGATGTTAGAAGAGTTTGCAGACGGTGGGAAGGAGAAAAGCCTTTCTTATAAGGAGAAAAGCTCAATATTCAGACCATTACTCTCTATGTTTTAGTAATAAATTTATCTATATTGCATCCGACTCATTCAGAAAAGTCATTATCACTTTAAAACATTTTTTTTTTAATCCTCACCCGGGGATATTTTTTCTATTGATTTTTAGACAGGGTGGAAGGGAGGGAGGAGACAGAGAGAAAAAGAGAGGCATTGATGTGAGAAGGACACATTGATTGGTTGCCTCCCCTACGCACCCCAACTGGGGCCAGGGATCGAACCTGCAACCAAGGTAGGTGCCCTTGACCAGGAAACAAACCCTCGACCCTTGTGTCCAAGGGCCAGTGCTCTAATCACTGAGCACCTGGCCAGGGCTTAAAACAATTTTTATAGACAGTTTTGCTCTGTGCCTCTGATGGAACCTCAGGCAGCAACGTACTATGACTGTGGCTGATGAACTCATCACTTGGAAGTGACTAGAAAAGAGCACTTTGATTTTTAAGTAGATGAGTATGTGGTCTCTCTTTTAAGAGCCCTAGTTTCTTTTCGTTTAATTTCTGAAGAAAGGTGCACAGGAGAGAAACCTTTCTCTTTCTGAGTTTTTGTCAGACGCTGCCTGGCGGCCGGGAGATGAGTTCAGGCTCCTCCCTGCTCCCTTGGCTCCTCTGCAGACGCTGATTTACTCACGAGCCTTCGTTTAGTGAAGCCACTAAAGGGGAGAACATTCGCTTCCCAGGGATTAAAGGCCCATCCAACCTTAGGCTCATCCTCAGTTGATCTAATCACGTATGCTCTTCACACATCACAGAACCAGATCTCAGTAAGTCCCATAAGTCACTGGATTATTTGAGTGTCATTTGCAATGTGTCTGTATAGCTCTATCTGGTTTAAGACACTTGTAGGCAATTCTTTTCCAAGGCCTTGGTTTTCTTTATGGATTTAAAGATTTTTCCTAACGTTGAAAAGACATGCACTTATTCCACCTAAAACAATCTAGTACATAAATCTCACCACAAATACTTAGGACAAAGTAGTAGGTCCTGTAAGTCACCCTACAGATTTATGAGTTACAGCCAACTCATTAAAATGTCACTAGGTTGTTCTTAGGAAGGCTTTTGAGCTACTTGTAGTGCTGTTTCTTGATCTGCTGGTTACACAAGTATGTGTAGTTTGCAAAAGTTGAATGTGCTGCACACTTAGGAATACTATTCTGTGTGTATGTTGTATCTTAACAAAATGTTAGGAAGTTACGGTGCAACTGGCAGTGACTTCTAGAGACACTGGGTATGTATGGGGTGCAAGTGGGTGAGGGGACCTGTAGGTGATATCATGGGACCAGCCTGAGTCACTATGACCATTGAAGAAGGTCAGGCCTCAGGGTTGCTATGGTCAGAGCCCTGGTCTGATTCTGGGTTTAGTCACTACTGCTGTTAGAAAGGCTTTCACAAAACCCCACACCAATGTAAAACTTAAGAATCTTAATAAGAAATGTCAAGACCCACATTAAGAAAATAAATGCTTTACTAAATGATACAGAAGAGTTGAATAGGAAGAGGAACATTCCCTTTTTCTAGATGGAAAAGTTAATACTGTATGGATTCATTCTAACTAAATTAGAGATTTAACATATTTCCATTAGTGTCCCAGCTGGTCACTTTTCCATTGAATTTCACATATGACAGTGCGGTTCATCTGGAAGAATCAATGTGGGAGAGTAATAAAATACAAATTTTAAACAAATTATGTTAATACAAGGGGCTTATTTGATATTAAAATAAACCATGAAGTCATAGTGATTAAGCTGGTGTGGTGTTGGCAGAGGAGAGGTCAGGAGAAGAGAGAATCCACAAACACATTTGAATATTTGTGTTGATATACTGCATAATAGAGACAAAAGTTTAAACCAAACCATGGGGAACAGATGTTATTTTGTTTCTTTTTAGAATTGGTGTTCATTTATTTACTTAATAAATAGATAAAAAGAGCATCTGAAACAAACAAAACTAACTTCCCCTGTTACAATAGTTTATTCCATAAAAGGTCTGTGTCCCAAGCATCCACTAGGTCAGCTGACCTAAAATAACTTGTTTTCCCTACATTTAGAGACCTCTTGTAATAGCAACATAGGTGCTAGGTGAGGCAGGGAATTTGTAATAGCAGGAATGAAAAAAACACCTGGGTTCTTTCTGTTTGGTTTTGTTTTGAGTTCTGCTTTTCTCTAGTATTTCTATTCTCTACTGCACCGATTTTCAACCGGGGTGCCGAAAGAATTTTTAAAGCGTGTTTCACCTGACTGTTGAGTCAGGGACATGACCTGTCCAATGCAAAAACGACAACAGCCAACAGAACAATAGCCGTCCTGTGTGAATGATCAAAATTATACCTTTTTTTTTTGGGTCAGATCAGCAAAAGATATATTTTTTGGTGTTTCACAGAATTTCAGTCATTAGTTTATGTGTGCCATGAGGTGAAAAGGTTGGGAATCACTGCTCTACTGTATATACTTCATAACGGAACCCAGCAAATACATGTGAAATTATTGAGATTTGTTCTGATTTTCCTAACTTTTACATACAGGTCTGTTGTTCTGTTGAGCACAAGAGGAGAAATAAAGCAGTTGAACATTTCAGATTCATTAATACCTCTGGGATTAGCCAAACCAGCTCATCTTTCTAACAAAGGTTTGTGTTTGTATTCTTCTACAAAGTTCCTAGGAGGCCAGCAACAGTCACATTTTTATGGTGAAAAGCAGCTACCAGACTGTTTTCAGGAGCTTATTTTGCTCATGTATCACGAAGATGCTTTCTAAATGAGGAGACTGTGTTGGAGGAAGTGTGTTGGGATGTGGTTTGTTATTTGGGACACGAGGTGGGTGGTAAGAGTTCATTTGCTGTGTAAGGAGGTGTAGTTGTTTTGTTTTCTAGCCGCCTTTGTTTTGCTCACCTCCGACATTATCTTGCCTGGAACTAGGAGTTGTACAAATTGAACTTTTCTGTTTTGTTTTGTTTTTTAGGGAGCACCATATTTTTGGGATTCAGCGGAAACTCTAAACCATCATGGACTAAGCTATTTACCAGTCCTGCTGGACAGGGCCTTGGGCTGCTGGAACAATTCATACCTTTGCAGCTGGAGGAATATGGTTGTCCCAGAATCGGCGCTGTCCGCAGGAGAGACCTGGAGCTGTTAAAGCAAACTTCAAAAGCACATTAGAGACTAACTGTAACTTAAGTGCTGGGGGAAAAAATGTGAACTAACTTATTTAATTTATGGCATTTTAAAATGACACTGTTAACCCAACGGAACCATTTTCCTGTTTGATACAGAGAGGGGAGAAAAGAAAGAGTTTAAAGTGATTGCTTGAATACCAGCTCATGCACCTTGTAGTTGTACAAAATGTTAAGAATTTATTTGTATCTGTTAGGCTGGTATATTTAGAGAGCAGTTCTCTTACTCCTCACCTTCCACCCCTGTGTTTTGTAGTGACCACAAGCAGTGCTTCTCCTTCCGTACTATGGGATGTCGTGGGGTGGGGTGGGGTGGGGTGCGGTGAGGGCTTCTGAGAATCAGCCTGAGTCCCTGAGAGGACCGGCTCTTGTAGCACCTTGGATACTTGAAGTCTAATGCTCAGTGTGTCATTGACTTTGGGTCAGCAGCTGACTTGGGTGGCTGGCATGTTTAGTGATGCCTTGGGCCCTGGTTCTGGGCAGCCTTTGAGGATTTTGTATGATCCTGAACGATAGAATTTTAAGTGGCAACTCAGGCCCAGCTCATGCCCATTTTTTGCCTGGACATGTGCTATTTTTATTCATTTGTATATCAATTCCTTCTAAGGGTTCTCCTTTCCAACAGGAAGTAGTGCATTGGGACAAAGGGCTTTTAGGGATTAGACATCCCTTTAATCTGTGACCATTGGGCAAAACTTTGACCTACACCAAGGTCTGTTGGGACCATTTTTTAGCTTTAATCCTTTAACTGTTTGGACTGTATATTTGTGTTTAAAATGCAGACCTGAGCTGAATATTTACTTACTCTTTTTTTTTTTTGAAAAAGAAGAAGCAGGCTGTTTTCCTGAACTGTAAACTCAAGTCATTTCAACTTGCACAAAGGAAGTCTGTTCTTAGAGTTGCTCCTGCACCCAGGTTTTTTTTTGTTGTTTTTGTGTGTAGATTTTTTTTAAAGCTTTTCTGCTCACCATCCTGCCAAGAAAACGGCAGAAAGCTTAATGATACCCCAAAATATTGTACTCAGGGGGCAGAAAAAGGGGAGAGCCTTTTAAGGGTCAGATCACAGAGGGGACATTCTGAAATGAACGTCGTCATCGTCAGTCATCTTAATTAAATTGTTAGAGCCGATTTTAAGAAGGTGCCACGGCGCCCTCTTTGCCTTCCCCTGGCTGCATGCATCTCCTGCCCATGAGGATTGCATGAGGCAAAAGGAGATGGGCTCCTGGCCCGGGACACCACCACACCAAGAGTAAAGAAGCATCAGAATGCCTTTACCTTCTCCTAATCCCACAATGCATGATGCGTAGTGGAGGAATGGCCACAGCGAGATAGTAGGAAGTGTGTGCAGGCTGACTTTGGCCATGAGTACAGACAAACTCACGTTCCTCTTCCAAGAGCCTCGGCTGATGGCCCATCCCTTGTGTCCAGGAGAGACTGCAGAGCAGCTCTGTGACTTCTGTTACTTTATGACACATGCTACCTCAAAGTGCTACCGATAAACCTTTCTAACTGTAAGTGCTCTTCCTGAGGGCACACGTCTTAATCAAAGTGTAGGGGGGGATTTGTTTGTTTTGTTTGTTTTGTACAGTGATGAATGAGATCTTACCTATTAAGTGTATTATTGGATCATGGTTCCTGAAGGGGATTAGTTTGAGTGTGTGTGTGTGTGTGTGTGTGTGTGTGTGTGTGTGTGTGTCTGTGTGTTTTATGACGTAAATATTTTTGTGTGTGTGTTTTTTAGAGTTTGGCTCTTTAAAGATTTGGAGAGAATATGTAATATAGTTCTAAGGCACTCAGTTTTTTTCTGATTTATATGCTAATTATCAGCCCTAAGTTAAATAAATAAAAATATGTGTGCATGTATTTCTTTTGTGTGTGTGGTGTATCTAGCAACCAGTCAACCAATCTATCATTTTTAAATTCCATATTTCAGCTGTAAAGAAGTTACTGGCAGAAATGAGAAAGGGGAAACTGTCCACTAAGTAGATATTGCAAGGCTAAGCTTCAGAAGGGTAGGGGTTATTCTCCAATGCAGAGGTCCTCAACCTTGGCTGCACATTAGAATCACTTGGGGGCTTTGAAAAATATGGAGCCCAGGGTCTCACCCCCTCCCCAACCCCTACATTTAGATTTGATCGGTGTGGGGTGCAGCCTGGACATTGGAATATTTTTAAAGCTCCCGGGGTGATTCTAGCATGCAGCCAGGTTTAGGAGCCACTGCACTAATATAATAGGCCCACTGTTTAACTCCAGTCTGCAATTTTTTTGTGACAAAACAAAATTCCATTTATCTATTATTTTTATTTGCAATTCCTATGTTACAGAACTCATCGTCCTAAACAAAGCATTTTACTGTTCTCTTCTTTTTTTTTAACTTTTAATTATTGCTTACAACGAGTAGTACATTTGTCTCCTTCCCCCCCACCCCCTTGACCTTCTTTTAATAGAACTTTTCAATGCAGTTTTTAGTCCTTAATTATCTCAAATGGTTAAATTGGTCATCTAAAGTTATATACACATTTAGGCCATTGGGAGCTAAGCAATCTGTTTTATTTCTACTGAGAAAGTATATTCAAAGGTAATTTATAAATTCATAAGCATTTTCCATCAGGTGAGGCAATTGGTTGAGCTCCAGAAATGTGGCCATGCACCCATCAGCCTGCTGATGGGAAACACAGGGCCTCCTCATAAGTCAGTGACTCAGGTTTTACATCTTTGCTGTGAGGTTCCTGCCCCACCACCGGAACCAGCGCGCTGCTTGTTACTGGCAGAGGCTGGAAGAGTGCTTGTGAGAAGATGAAAGGCAGACACAGTCTCATAGAAGATGACTCCAAAGCAACCACTAAGCTGATGTTTAGACAGGGAGGGGAGGGGAGGGGTTATTTCTGACTCTTCTGTTCTCCGGCCCCATCAGGAGAGAACACATCCTCCAGCCATTAAATGGATTAGATTGTTTGAGGAGGGGTGGGCAAGGAGGTGATGGATAGAGGCTTGAATGTTTCAGATAACTAGGTGTTTATTCCTTAAGAGATGAGGTAATGTTTGGATAAGTCCAGTTGAAAGGCTGTTCAGTAAGCAGGAATGCTCTTAGTTAATGCAAGTGTTCTTTCTCCCCCCTGGTTGATCCTAAGTAGTTAAGTACTTAGATTCCATTGAGACAATGTTTGTAGTTTTCAAGATGCAGAGTTGGGAGTTTATCCTCCAGAATCCTTGTTTGGGTTTCAGATACTTACGGAGCCATGTTTAATAAGGAAAAATTCCCCTAGAGGTGAAGACTGAGTGGGGATAATTGGGTAACAGATTTGCATCATTACTGTTAGTCTTACTTGGTAATAGCCCAGGCTGCTAGAAATGTGAGCCAACACGCTGGGCTGGAACAAATTTTCAACGTAAGGTCAGGGAGAAGAAAAAATCAAGGACAGGCACCCCAAGTCCCTTGTTCACAAATAACACGATGCTCACATCTTGCTGGATCTCTGGAGTCCATGGGAAGGTAGAGGTTTTTTACCCTAATTTATCTTCAGTAGGAGAGAGAAGCTGAAAAAAGGATGCTAATTAGGCCCTGGGGTTGTGCGGAAGGGCACCCACACTTTTTTAATGTGATAAAATTAGAGAATGACCAAACTGTGGAGATTTATAAATGAGGAACGATGCCCCACAGGGCATCCAAAAACATCAGCCAAAGCAATCAATAACAATGTTATATCTGAAAATACAACAAAGAGGTCAGAAAACAACTTCATAGATTTGCTTTTTTTTTTTTTTTATTCCTCAGATGGACAGTGTGACTACTCTGGCTATGAAAAACACTAACAAATTTAAGGTTCATCCTCAGGAAGGTTCAGACCTGATGACAACACTTGACTCTCAGGGTTTGCCAAACTTACGCATGTGGGCCAGACCTGTCCCCCTGACTGGTTTTGTACCAATTCTGAACTAAGAACAGTTTTTACATCTTTAACTACAACATGTTGGAAAAAGTCAAAAGAGGAGTAATTTATGATGTGAAAATTATGTCCATGAATGAAGTCGCATTGGAAGGGAGCCACCCTCATTTGCTCACATGTTGACCGACTTACATATTTAATGGCAGATTTGAGCCGTTGCCACAGAGACTATAAGTATGGCCTGCAAGGCCAAAAATATTTCCTATGTGTTCCGTTACTGAAAAAGTTGGCTGACCCTTGATCTCCCTGAAGGATATACTGGTGTTCATTGTACTGCTCTTGGGACTTTCCTAAGGTTTGAGAGTTTTTTAAATAGAAAGTTTAGGAAAAAAACTTGCATCAGAATCTCCTGAGGTGTTTATTGAAAATGCAGAATCCCAAATCCTGGAGAATTGGCATCTCTGGGAGCTGACGCTGGCAATATGATTTTATAACGAGCTCCTTACGTGGGTCTCAGGAACACCAAATTTTGAGAACCCCATAGAGGGGAGCCTCCGTTATTTCTTTCCCTCTTTTCTGTAAATAGAGAGTGCACCTGAGTAAATCTGAATGTTGGGTTTTTAACCCCGATGGCTCCATTCTACACCATCTTCCCCAGAACTCTTTGTGACTAATGCAGGGCAGGTCTGGTGCACAGCACAGTATGTGGCTGTTGATGGGGCAAAGGCTTGGAGCCCGTAGTAAAGTCCTCTCTCCATTGAGTGTGAAATTGTCACTGTTAGAATGATTCCATTAGTTACAGTTATCCCTACAATAAAATCCCAGCCATCCTTTGTTTTCTGCAAGTTCGTTTTAATATTTTAAGGAGTTTAAAGGGGAATGTACATATAGCCCCAATCGGGCTGTGCAGACTAACAAAAACAAGTTTCTTTGCGTTTGAACGGACTTGTGTCCACTTTAATTATTTTCCATATATCAAAGCACTGATTGGTAATTACAGATCTTTTTTTAAGGTAGGATGATTTATTTCATGCAAGCAGTTTGCTTTAGAAGCAAAAGTCTTTGAGTACATGAATTTCATGGCAGTGGTGGGAGGTTGTTGGTTGGTCTTGGGCAGTGGTCGGCAAACTCATTAGTCAACAGAGCCAAATATCAACAGTACAACGATTGAAATTTCTTTTGAGAGCCACATTTTTTAAACTTAACCTATATAGGTAGGTACATTGTTATTAACTTAATTAGGGTATTCCTAAGCTGGCCTTTGCTAAAAACGTCCTCCATCTGATTGAGGTACGTTCACCGAGGTCGACCTCTTCCAACTCTCCCATCCACACACGTCTTGTATACTTGTTTCTTCTATCTCCTTTCTGAAAACCAACTTCTGCACATGGGCCATGAAGTTTCAATCGCACTGTACGTGCACGCCTGCATGTGGTATTTTGTGGAAGAGCTACACTCAAGGGGCCAAAGAGCCGCATGTGGCTCGTGAGCCGCGGTTTGCCAACCACTGGTCTTGGGGGATAATAAAATTGGTCTTTGCCAAGAAAGAGGGTGGGACACTATCTGGGAAGGCATAACAAGTTTACTTTCTCCCACCAGCTTATATGGGTCATAAACACCCATTTTTTTGAATATCCTTTTATTGATTTCATAGAGGAAGGAAGAGGGAGAGATAGAAACATCAAAGATGAGAGAGAATCATTGACCGGCTGCCTCCTGCACACCCCTTAGGGGGGATTGAGCCCACAACCCCAGCATGCGCCTTGACTGGGAATCCGTGACCTCTTGGTTCATGGGTCAACACTCAACCACTGAGCCACGCCGGCCAGACAATACCCAGTTCTTGAAGGAGGAAGGCTGAGGTCAGATAGGTTTCTGATGGGGGAGACTAGGATTTACAAATCTCAGGAGGCCAGGAGCATCATGAGCTCCCCATGTAGACAGGAGTCTGACAGAGGAGAGACCACACCAAAACTTGTTGCCTATTTCCAAAATGTGCATGTGAGTAGTTACTGGACTTGAGATGGTGTGGTAAGTGCCTGTTACAGTCTGTTGCTCTGGGTTATGTATGGTGGATGCTTTGGTCACCAAACTTGGTTTGATGCCAGCTAAGGCTCTTTACCAGTGGTGTTGCTTTGAGCGGTTTCCTCCTGCTGATCCTCAGCTTTCTCATCAATAAAATGGAGCTGCTAATACTTTATAAAGTTACAAAGGGGATTATATGAGAACTAGAGGCCCAGTGCATAAAATTTGTGCACTGGGGGGGGGGGGTTGGTCCCTCAGCCCAGCCTGCACCCTCTCACAGTCTGGGAGCCCTTGGGGGATGTCTGACTGATGGCTTAGGCCCACTCCCCGGCTGTCAGACATCCTTAGTGCTGCTGCGGAGGTGGGAGAGGCTGCCACCACCACCGCTGGGCTCGCCAGCCGTGAGCCTGGCTTCTGGCTGAGCAGCACTTTCCCTGTGGGAGCGCACTGACCACCAGGGGACAGCTCCTGTGTTGAGCACCTGCCCCTGGGGTCAGTGCGCATCATAGCAACTGGTTGTTTCGCCGTTCAATCGATTTGCATATTAGCCTTTTATTATATAGGATAGCCATGGTTCACAGACACAGCTTGTCATCAACAATACACAGGTGGTTTGTCTAAAAAAAATGTATCAGATTTCCAGACATCTATGAATTCTAATTTAGTAGTTTTTCAAGGGCTAAGGATTAGGAAATATGCATTTTTCAAAACAAACTTCTGAGATAATGCCAGATTTAGGAACCGCTGAGAACACCCTATGAAAGCCCTTGCCCTACTTTTATGCACTTCCCTTACTCAGTGTGTATCTAGACCAGTGATGGCAAACCTATGACACTCATCTTTTTGGTTGATTTTTCTTTGTTAAATGGCATTTAAATACAGTGGGGCCTTGACTTACGAGTTTAATTCGTTCTGTGACAGAGCTCGTAACTCAAATTACTCGTATGTCAA